GTTTGGGGTTTCAGGGTTCGTGCTTCGGGTGCACCAGGTGCCCCAGGGTGAAGCCTCAACCCCTCAACCACGAAACCCTGAAGCCCTGTAGCTCTAAACCCTAAACCCTAAACCCCAAACCCTAAACCCTAAACCCTAAACCCTAAACCATGGCGCAGGGGCGCAGATCGCACCCACCTGGGAGACCTTGGTGGAGGTGCGCCACACCTACGTTTTAGGGTTTAGGGTTTAGGGTTTAGGGTTTAGGGTAGTTACATAGTGCCTTTGGGCCCTTAAAGGGGACCCCTTATATATCCCTTATATACCCTATACGACCCAAGGGCCCATACATCAGAAGGGACGATACTAGGGGACCAAGTACCTACCCAAAGAACCTCATCATCCTACAAATATCACATCGTCGGGCACTTGCAGCCCTATTTCTTGCACTGCTTACTGAGCTCCCTGAGCCCGTATAAGCATCCTAAACTCAAAGCCCTAGATAGAACCCATGAAGGCACCCTTGTCGATCATTGTTAAACAAACCTCCGTATAAACCCTGAGCCCAAGACCTTGTTAAGCTCCCTCAGCCCTAAACCTTGAGCCCCAAACCCTAAACCGGTTAAATCCGCACAAAGTGGCTTTGGGCCGTCAAGTACACCCTCAACCTCGAACGCCCATACTCCGAACCAACAAGCTCAAAGCATGAAAGGGTTTAGTGAGGATTTGGTTCGGGTTTAGGGTTTAGGGGTTGAGGTTTCGGATGGCCGGATTGAGATTTCGGACTTTGTGGAAGTTTTTTTTGGGCCATCGACCCCGAAACTCTTAGGTTTGACTCCCAAAATATGAAACCTAGGGCTCTGCAGGCCGCAACAACAAGGGGTTGAGGGTCTAGGGTTTAGGGTTTAGGGTTTAGGGCCATGAAACCCAAAACGGCCACAGGTAGAGCACGCAGTTCCCTGTGACGAACTGGACTCTGGGCGTGCATTCGCGGGCTCCACGCCAGCGGCGAAGATCGAGGACGCGGGGAGGGCGGTTTCGGGTTTAGGGTTTAGGGTCTACCTAAACCCTAAACCCTAAACTCTGATTCTTCGGTGCCTGCAAGTGTGGGTCGATTAAACCCAAAAAAACACATTAAGAAGCCTCGTCCAACTCTGAGCGCTGCAGACCCCTATGCTTGCACCATCCTCCCTAGGTCCATACCCTAGACTCTATGCCCTTCTACACCCCAATGTTTAAGAGCCTCCGGCTCAAGCCGCCGACCCCGCTTTAAGGTTTGGGGTTTGGTGGATCCAGAAACCCATCCAACACGCCGCCAGGGTCGGCGGACTCGAATAGTCTTATGGCCTGAAGCCTCTAAATCCCAAGCCCTAAACCCCAAACCCCAAATCCTAAACCCTAAGCCCTAAGCCCTAAACCCTAGACCCTAACCCTAAACCTTGCGAGCCTTGCTGACAAGGTGGCGCCGCCCAGGGCCACGAAGCGGAAGACCCTCGCAGCCGGCAGCAGAGGTGGGGGACAGCTTCCGGGGTTGGCGACTTTCGGGTTCATAGGCTACATAGGGTTTAGGGTTTAGGGTTTAGGGTTTAGGGGTTGGCGTTCAGGGTTTAGGGTTTAGGGTTTAGGGTTTAGGGTTTAGGGTTTAGCGTTTAGGGTTTAGGGTTTAGGGTTTAGGTTTAGGTTTAGGGTTTTGGGTTTGGGGTCTAGGGTTTAGGGTTTAGGGTTTATATAGGGGTTTAGGGTATATAGTTCATAGGCTTCAGAGGGTTCAGAGGGTTCAGAGCGTTCGCAGGGTTCACGGGGTTCATTGGGTTCAAAGGGTATATAGTTCATAGGGCTTCACAGGATTGAAGAGGGTTTCATAGGGTTCTATAGTTCAAAGGGTCTTATAGTTCGTCGGGTTTCATAGGGTTTCATAGGGTTTGATAGTTAATAGGGTTCATAGGGTGTAGGGCTTGGGGTTTAGGGGTTTATTAGTTGAGGCTTTTGGGTTCAAAGCTTCTGGTTCATCGGTACACTACCACTTGAGGGCTCCATTGTGGGGGTCCTAAGCCCTGTATTGAAGGGCATCTTGTGGGGGTCCTAGACCTTGTAAACCAGATATAGAATATACGCTTCCTCTCCCCCAGATTTAGGAATAATACACCCACCCGCCCCCAGGTACCCGTGAACAGTAAACGCAAGGACCTCGGGAAGAGCCGTCGCCACTCACTGCGCCGTCGTTGGGCTGCAAATGGAAATAGGGAGGGTGAATATTTGATTAAGGGTGAAGGGTTCAGGGTTACTTTGCGATGTTGGTTTACTACTTTGGTTCCTTTACAAGGCTACCAGTGTCCTTTTGCAGGGTTCGGGAGTTGCAGGTGCAGGCCTCCAGCCAAGGCAACCAAGCCCTCACCTCCCCAAAAAAGGGGCTACTTTTGTCGTCTTGCGGGGGGTGGGGGTGGGACTTCGATAAGGATTGTTATTTTGAGGGTGTGTATCGATTGGGGGTGGCCCTATTTTTGGACATATCCATACGGGTGTAGGCCCATCTTTGACGTCTATGGGAGTTAAGTCGGGTTGGGCTTTTACAAAGGTATAGGTGCTTTCAGTTGGGGTTCTCATAGTGAAATGAATCAAAACTGGTAACCTTCTTGCTACGTTCCCTGAGGTTTTGTGTATGAACATGATATTGTGATTTCCTGGCTATAAATATGTGGCCCTTTGCTAGGTGGAGAAGAGGGTGGACACAAAACTCACTGTGGTAACCCCAAAGGGTCCCTACTGTTTAGGGTTTTGGGTGTGGTCTACCGACTCAGGAGCCACTAGCCATAGTTGTATTGAAAGCTTGTAGTGCCTGCTGAGAAATTTTGAAGAGTTTAGGGTTCAGCAGGTGAACTGCACCCTGGCTGGGGATATCATGCTCAAGTCCATGCGAAAGTCGAAAGTGGTCCACACCTCAAACCCAAACCCCCAACTGGGGTTGATGTGCTAGGGCCCCTAATCCTCACCTGGTACAGAAGCCCTGAGCAAGCCCCTAAACCCCAAACCCTAAACCCTACATATATATATATATATATATGTATATTCCAACACAAAGTGTCTTCCACGAAGACACAAAGTGTCTTCCACGAAGGGCCTCCAATCCAGGGATTGTGTTGCATTCATCCTTTATCGAAGAACCCACTCATGCATGGGTGTAGGGTTTCGTGTTTTGTTGCGGTTTAGGCTAGCAAAAGGGCCTGTGACCTTTATCAACAATACCTTTAATTTTTGAAGCACCACACTGAACCCTGCCAACCTTTGAGGCCTCAGGAGGCTACATTGGGGCTACTTTGGTATATTTAGAGGGGGAATCCTCCCTTTACCGCCCTATGAAGCCGCCCGAAACCCTAAACCCTTGAAAAGGGCCCGAACTCAAAGGTGCCTTTTAAGGGTCCCTCCGACTCCTTTAGTCCCTTGCGAGGGGTTTGGATAACCCCTGACAAACTCTGCAGCAAGGCCTGGTTCTCTGGTGCTGGATGAGGTTTGGATGGGGGGTTAGAGTTTAGAGGGGCATTGTGGGCGCTTGGTTGTTTAGGATTGTGGTCCCTTTTCTTGGTTAGGGGTTTAGTGTTTTAGGGGAATAAAGGCCCTGTCAGGTGTTCGTAGGTTATACAGGAAGCTGCTAGCTTGTCGACTTTCGGCTTACAGGTCGGGTCTATACAGTCGGGTTTAGGAAAAACTCCGAAATCCTAAACCTCAAGCCATCAGCCCTGAAGCCTTGGAGATGACTTTGCAGGCTTCTGCGCACTAGGTCAGTCGAGGTTCGGAGCATATAGGGTTTAGGGCTCAGGGTCTAGGGTTTAGGGTTGGTTTAGGGTGTAGGGTTTAGGATTTAGGCTTCATTTAGGGTTTAGGAACCCCAAGCTCGAAACACCTCTGCCTATAGGGGGGCTTCATTCTTAAGACGAGGGCTCAAGGTTCCGAAGCCCTCAACCCTAACCTTAAACAACCCTAAAACCTAAACCCTATTGTGTAGAGGAGCTCAGGGCTAGAAAACCTTTTTTGCCTCGCGAGGGCGCCGGCGCCATCTTCCTGGAGCCGTGCCTGGCATCCAAGTTGAGGAAGCATCAGGCGCGTGCGGTTTTTGGTAGGGTTTAGGGTTTATCAGAGTTTATCAGGGTTTATCAGGGTTTATCAGGGCTTACTAGGGTTTATCAGGGCTTATTGGGGTTTATTAGGGTCTTTTCGGGTTCAGTAAGGCTCCAGGGCCTTGTTGGCGGCAGGTTCCTGAAGACCCGAAGAATCTGGCTGAGAAGTCTCGGGGGACTCTGGGCGCTTTCTACGCCTTATTCCCCTTTTTTGGGGTTTCGGGTTTCGGGTTTAGCGTTTTGGGGTTTAGGGCTTAGGGTTCAGGGTCTAGGGTTTAGGGTTTGGGGCTTCTAGGACCCAGAGTCGGCCCTTATTCTCTTGTTAGGGCTTAGGTTCCCTGATCAGCCCCGAATAAACGCAAACGGCACCTTTGGCATTCCTAGGTTAATCTTGGGTCCAGTGTAGAATTTAGGCGTTGATAGGGTTGTTTTCAGAACCTCTGGCTGCAGGGTTTTGGGACTTAGGGTTTGGGTTCAGAGGTTCATGGTGGAGGGCTACACCTAAACACCAAACGCCTGAACCCGTAAACCCCTAAACCCTAAGCCCGCCAAACCGTTAACCCCTAAACCCTAAACCCTTTGAACCCAAACAAATTTAAACCCTAAACCCCTAAACCCTCCAAACCCTTAAACCCGCCCTAAGGTCTTCTGAGCCGAGAGACTGACAACCTCCTCCCCCTGTCACCCGGCCCTTCCTTCACCCCAACCCCCCCCCCCCCCAACTAGAGGTTTACTTACCTTTGGTTCCATTGCCCCAAAGAACTGCACAGAAAAGGAAACCAAATGAGTTTAGAGTCTAGGGTTTAGGGCTTAGGGCCCTCAGGGCCAGGGCCCAGGACAGAGTTTGTGCTTGATGAGCCCACCTCGCCTCAGGAGGAAGGCGTCAAGTTCATGACGAAGCACTTGTTGCAGGAGCGGGCCCTAAACCCTAAACCCTAAACCTGAGAGAGGGGGGTTGAGGTTCAGGGGGTGGGGGTTGGGGGGGGGGGGGGGGGCGCGGTGCTTGAAAGCAATCGGGGATGCCCTGAGTCTTTGTCTAACATGTTAAAATTATTCTATCTGTTCATTTTTTCTTTGTATATATATATATACACGTATTTCTTTAGATACATTATTTCCGTATTTGCTTTTCATGTTGCATGTTTCTTTTGTTTTTTTTTTGTCGTGTTCATTCTTTTTTTTTTTGGGGGGGGGGGGAAGGGGGGGGGGGGGAGGGGGGGAGGGGGGGCGGGGCGGGGGGGTTGGGTTCCCAAAGCAAAGAAGGGCAGCGCGATTGATTCTGAGGTACCTGGGGAGCCAAGAAGGCCTGTAAACCCAAACCCTAAGCCCTCAACCCTCAACCCTAAGCCCTAAAACCTAAACCCTAAACCCTGAACCCTAAACCCTAAACCCTAAACCCTAAACCCTAAACCCTAAACCCTAAACCCTAAACCCTAAGGCAAGTTTTACTGGGCGTATTTGTTCCTTGTTGTGCGCAGCCGAAGCTTAAACATGGAGGCCTTTCTCAACCCTAAACCCTAAACCCTATAGTATAGCAGAAAGAGCTCTCAGAGGCCAGCTGTTTGTGGTCTGTTTGGGCTATCAAAAGCCTGCTCTTGAAAGGCTCGGGGACTTAGAGTAAGCTTGCAAGTATACTTTGAACCCAAGGGTCTGGGGGTTAGGGGTTTCGCAGACTTCTGAAATCTAGAATCTTCACACTAGACCCCAAGCCCCGAAACCCGAAACCCGAAGAATCCCTGAACCCTGAGTCCTAAACCCAGGGCACCGGTTGCATCCTCGCAGACAGCATGGGTCTGGGGAAGACGCTGCAGGTGGGAGCCCACCGCAAAAGGGGTTTAGTTGTTAGAGGGTTTAGGGGTTAGGGGTTACGGGTCAGGCTATTTTGTGTAGGGTTTATGGGGTTTCTAGGGTTTCGGCTTTATGTGGTGTATATGTTGTACAGGGTGTATATGTTGTATATGGTGTATATGGTGTATATGGTGTTGGCGCTTGTAGCGTTTGTAGGGTTTATAGGTTTACTGGTTTATAGGGTTTAGAGTTTTAGGGAAGGCCTTTGGCATGTGTCTCGACACGAACCACCTAGGAACCACGGGGGCACGAACCGGTGCCCACAGTGCCCATGGCTCTGCTCAGAGCATGGGTGTGGGGCATGTGCGTCATGTCAGCCATGGCAGTTTGGAGCAACTCCTCTGACGCGGCGGCGTCGTCGGAGGAGAGTGTGGCCTCCGCCCCGGCATTGGCGGAGGAAGGAGCCCCGGCCCCCGGCGGTCCGCCAGCAGCGGCACCCGCGATGCGGTGCTGACCACGACTGCGGTAGAGCAACATGCGTGGCGCCAAAAGGAAAAACTTCCTGCCCACCACTTGCACCTGCCCTTCGCTCACGTAAGTGAGCGTCTCCAGCGTGCTGTGCGAGGGCCTGGGCGAGCATGTTGAATGAGGAACTGGTCCTTCCAAAAGAACATGTATGGCAGTCCCAGAGTTAAGCGCTGGGACATAGTTACTATACGCACTATAGTTACGGAACTTATAACCTAAAGGAGCAGCTACAAGCTAGAAGTGTTCGTATTTCATAATCCACATGAAGCGAAGTAACCTAGGCCCTACTGTCCCAAGTTAGGTTTCTGGTTCGGCCCCCCCAAACGGGAACCTTAAAACATTTCCTACTACACTTGGGATCTTAGGATTTCTGGGGTCCTTATACCCTAAACCCTAAACCCTAAATCCTAAACCCTAAACCCTATACCCTAAACCCTAAACCCTAAACCCTAAACCCTAAACCCTAAACCCTCTCAACTCGAACAAGTTTGCCTGGCAGGTCATGCTCTTGCTCCCTTTGCTTACGCTCGGTGCCCTCATAGTTTCATGCCCACTTAGCCACGCAAAATCAGCTCGACCCCTTTTGTTCTTCAGGCTACCCCTAAGCCCCAAACCCTAAAGCCTAAACCCTAAACCCTAAACCCTAAACCCTAAACCCTAAACCCTAAACCCTAAACCCTAAACCCTGCTTTGCAAGTACCTCCCCCCCAAGAGCCGACTTCTTGAGAGCTGAGAGGCGCTGTGCACCGTCTGGGTTTCATTGAGCAAGCCGCTGGGGAGGCCGCGGAGACACGGGAGTGGGGAAGTCGGGGTTGGGAATCTAGGATGCCCAGTAGTACCCTTATTCCCTTTTTGGGGGTTTTGGGTTCCCTTATAAACCCCTTTAGGCAAAAAAGGGCACCCCTTTTAAGCCTAGGTTACTGGGCAGCCTAGGAATAGGGAGTTCAGGGTTTTAGGGTGTTGGGGTTCAGGGTTTAGGAATAGCTAGTGTTTTAGAGCTCGGGTTTTGGGGGGTTTTGGGTTTTGGGGTTTAGGGCGTAAGAGGGTCGAGCCTTGAACCGAAAGCCGAACTTTCCCAGCCTCTGGCTGGTCTGTGACCTGTTGCTCCCTTTAAATCCCGGGCTGTTGGAGACGAATCGAGAACTCGAACATGTTCTTGCAGCTTCTGCTGAAGAAATGACTCTCAAATGACCGTTGGCTTCTGTACTTCCTTGATAAACGTTACTTCGACCCTCTTCCTAAATTAGGGTCGCTTTTTGGATACCCTGATGCCCATTATAAGGCGGCACCCTTTAAAAAGGGTTCCCCAAAAGGAGAGAACTACCCAACATCAACACATCCCAGAGCATCCTAGACCCCCAAAAGCCGGAAAAAAGTCCTGAACCCCCTAAGACCCAGGAATCCGAAGCGCCAAAGCCAGAAGAAAAGTCGTAAACCCCCCTCCCCCAAAAAAAACACTCCAAAAATCCGAAGCCCCAAGGCCAGAAATATAACCCTAACCCCCAAAAAAAACCCTCTACGCCCCGAATATAGGGTTTAGGTTTAAGGGTCAACAATCTAAACCCCCCCCGCCCCCCGCCCCCCAAGAAATCCTACCCCCCCCCCCCCCCCCCCCCCCCCCACCCCCCCAATTTCGAATCCCCCAAAGTCCTAAAGCCCCATCCTCAGAAACCCCTAAACCCTACCTAAACCCTACCTAAACCCTAAACCCTAAACCCTAAACCCTAAACCCTAAACCCTAAACCCTCTAAGTCCCAGACGCGAGGCCGCTGTGCAGGAAGGCGGCCGTCGTCTGCCCCTCGTCCCTCTGTGCCAACTGGGCCTCGGAGGTGCTGTCAGCCGGGTTTTAGGTTTAGGGTTTAGGGTTTAGGGTTTAGGGTTTAGGGTTTAGGGTTTAGGGTAAATGTTGCAAGCTTATGGTCTTTGTCGGGCTTAGGATGTGCGGTTTGGGGTTTAGGGTTTAGGGTTTAGGGTTGTAGGGGTTGGGGTTTTAGGGTTTTGGGGTTCGGGGTTTGGGGTGTCTAAGCCCTGAGCCCTAGATCGTCGACACCATCTCCCGACACAAAACGGTACACCAAGGCAGCAACGATAGGCCAGGGACTCTCTCGGCTTCGTAGCCCAGCGGTACCTTTACGCTTTTTGTGTTCTGGGTTCCCTTGTAAAGTAACCAACCAAAAATGGGTGCCCCTATTGTAAGATGGTTACTGTGCTACCAAGTGGTTCATTCAAGGCAATTGCGCCGAAGCCCAACCCTTCCCAAAGCCATCAGCCTCATTCTCAAGAGCGCTTTGGCAGCCACGAAAGACTATTTCAGAGCATGCAGGGCTGACAAAGCAACACACAATTCATCAAGCGAGTTTATTGGGGCCTAATCCCCTAAGCTAATCCCCTAAACCCTAAACTAAACCCCTGAAACCCTAACCTTAAACTAATCGGTTAAACCCTGGAACCCCCCCCCCCCCCTCAAGAAAAAGAGTTTGATTGTTGATTGGCTCAGAGGTTTAGGGTGTAAAACCTGGGCTTGGTGAATCCGAGGGTTTCAGGGTCGTTCACAATAAGGAGGGACCCTTATTCCCCTATAGAACCCCGGGAGGGTCCCTATATATGCCTAAGTAGGCCCCAAATAGCCCCTAATTAAACCCTTAAGGTCCCTTATAAAGGTCCCTTCTTTCGTCCCTTGGTTCAGGGCTTGGGGTGTCAGAAGAATGAACGCACTGCACTCCGATTGCTTGAGCACCAGCCACTCCAGCCTTTACTCCAATCTAAACCCTTTTATCTTAACCCTAAACCCGCGACCCTAAACCGTAGCTCTAAACTAAACCCTAAACCCAAACCCTAGTACAAGGCCTAAAACCGAAAACTCGGGAAGGTGCAGCACTGGCTGGGGCCGCAACGGTTGAACCCGGCTCTTGTGCAGGGCGGGGGTACCGCCGCCGAGGCAGGTAAACGAGTCAGGGTTATGGATTTGGGGTAGGAGTGTTGAGCGGCCTTTTTGCGATGTCATTTGAGCAACGTTTTTTTTCTACGAGCAAGGCTACGTAGAGACGCGATCATTGAAAGTCGGCCGCGTAGCATTTTGCCTGCAGGGCGTAGGTTTGCGTAGGGTCCGCGTAGGCAAGTCTATGCAGTATGGGCGCGTAGGTCCGCGTAGGTTGTCTATGCTTGCCGCGTAGGTCCGCGTAGGCACACGTCAACAACATACTCCGCGCGTAGGCCGCGCGCCTACTAAACATGAGCTGACGCGTAGGCCCGCGTAGGATACCCATGCCATTACAACACCCCACACAATGAAAAAAACAAATGCTCATTTCGGGTCTTGTTCGGCTTTGTTCCCTAAGGCCTAAACCCTAGTCCCCAAATGAGCCTTCGGTGCTTCTGGGCGGGCTTCAGGCATAAGTTGTTGGCTTTTTTTGGCAGATTGGGTAGGGAAGTTGAGATCTCAATTGTTTGTCCAAGGCTTTGCACGACTACGTTTCTCTGGGGAACCATAAAGGCCCTAGCTCTAAACGGCCTACTGGAAGGCCGCGCGGACCGTGGCTGCTTTTGTGTCCTCTCCCGAGACGCTTGGAGGTCAGAGCAGAGCATCAGGTTGAGGAATATGGGGGTTTTGAGCGCTCTTTCGGGAAAGCCCCTACCCTAAACCCCTAAAAACGAAACCCCAAACCCTGCCCTGAAACCCCTAACCCCTGAACCCTACGCCCCTCAACATTCTGGAGCAATCTGTCGGGATTGGGATATTTTTCATCTTTAGGGCCTGGGGAGGTACCGGAACGTAGTGTTGGTGTTAAAGTCGGTGGGTTGCAGGGTTTAGTGATCTTTTGGGGCTTACTTCACAACCTTAGTAAGCTAGGATTATAAGTACGGCACATAAGTGGCTCCTGCGTAGTCTTATTGATAGCTTACACTCCCCCTCCTCCTGGACGCGAAACTCTGACCAGGGTAGGGCCCGGCCCCCAGCCTGTTGATTTGAGTAAGGTCCCTAAGCCCACAAGCCCTGCAAGCCCCGCATCCAGAAGCAAAACCGGATTGCCAGAAATCTTCCAAGCCCAAAATGTTCAGCTGACCTCCCCAGCCGCAAAGACTCCTCTATCACCAACCTCCTCCCCCTCGCCTTAAAGACAGATGCACATGATAGTGGCAGATGAAAAACAACTTCTTAAACAGCCCGTAGCCCGGTGTAGCACCACCCTAAACCCAACACCGGGACCCAGAGTAGGCCCTTGTTCCCTTGTTTTAGGGCTGAGGTGTCCTTTATAAGCCCCGTTGAACCAAATAGGGCGCCCCACCCCCAGTTGTTTTTTCCCTAAACCCTAAACCCTAAACCCTAAACCCTAAACCCTAAACCCTAAACCCTAAACCCTAAACCCTAAACCCTAAACCCTAAACCCTAAACCCTAAACCCTAAACCGAGCCCCGAACTTTCTGTACGAGTTTTTAGTAAGGGAGCCAGGTACCCTGTATAACCCCTTTCAGGGACATGTAGGCATCCTAATCCCAAAATCCCTTACGAAGTTCCCTAAACCCTAAGCCCTAAACCCCTGAGGAACACTAAACCCTAAACCCTAAAATTTAAACCCTAAACCCTAAACCCTTGAGGAACCCTAATCCCTTGAGGAACCATAACCCTTAAGGAAGCTCCTGATCATCTCCTACGACCAGCGCCCTGGGCGCGAAAGGGTCATTCCTGGGTCGACGGATGTGGGATCTAGGGATTTGAGTCTAAACCCAAAACCAAAAACCCCAAGCCAAGCCCCAAACCCCAAAGCCCTAAACCTCAAACCCTAAAGCCCTAAGCCCTAAACCTCAAACCCTAAACCCCAATCCCAAGCTCCCAAGCCAAGACAGGCGACCGGGACTGATCTTAGGCCCTTGTTCCGAAAAAACCTAACCCTAAACCCTCAACCCCCCCCCCCCCCTCTAAACCCTAAACCCTAAATCCTAAACCCTCAACCCCTCCCCCCCCCCCCTCTAAACCCTAAACCCTAAATCCTAAAACCCTAAACCCTACTCCCCCCCCCCCCCCCCCCCCCCCCGACCAAAATTAAAAAGACGAGTCCTGGAACCTAGGCTTCGCATCCACGCTGACGCCCTGGACACCGCGCTCGAGCTCCTGATTTGCGATGAGGGGCACCGGCTCAAGTCAGGCGCCATTTGTTAGGGTTTAGGGTTTAGGGTTTAGGGTTTAGGGTTTAGGGTTTAGGGTTTAGGGGTCTCAGAGGGATTTTGGGGTTTGGGGGGTCCAGGGGTTTAGAGTCTGAGCGTCTATAGGGGTCTAGGGGTTTAGGGGTTTAGGGTTTAGGGGTCTATAAAGGGTTTGGGGGCTTAGCGCCCAGGGTTTTGAAGGTGTTGCTGAAGGGCAGGGTTGAGGAATGAGGCTTAGGTGTTTACAGCCGGGTTCGGGTTTAAGGGGTCAAGTGTTCTGGGGCCCGATCTTTTGTAAACCCTAATTCTGAAAACCCAAAACCCTAAAGCAGCTTAAGGGGTTTCATCAGGGTTTTTTGGCCTCGGCAGTTCCCACGTCTGACCTTTTTTTTTTCGGGTCGAGGGTTTCGGGGAAAAAGGGTTTGGGGCACCGCTTCTTTCTCCAGCTATTTTTTTTGGGCGGGGGCCTCAGGCGAGATCAGAAGATCGAACCCTAAACCCTAAACCCTAAACCCTAAACCCTAAACCAGTACCCTCAATCCTAGAAAGCCTAAAGACCCACACCCCTTCAGCCTCTGGGGTTCCAAGTATGGGCCGTTAACTTGTTAGCCCGTATCTTACACTATACTATAATACCAAACACCCACAGCCCAAACAACCTTTTGGCCCTTTCATCCCCTAAACCCTAAACCCTAAACCCTAAACCCTAAACCCTAAACCCTAAACCCTAAACCCTAAACCCTAAACCCTAAACCCTAAACCCTAAACCGCCCTAAAGAGCCCTCGTCTCCGGTTTTCTAGGGGCTTCCGGGCCGCCTCGGGAGAGCGCAGGCTGCGCCACGACCACCAAGAAGCTGCAGTCGATGCGCTGCAAGCGGCGGATCCTGATTTCAGGCCTTGCTTTTTTGGGGGGTTCTTTGCAGGGTTTAGGGTGTGGGGTTTAGGGTTTAGGGTTTAGGGTTTAGGGTTTAGGGTTTAGGGTTTAGGGTTTAGGGTTTAGGGTTTAGGGTTTAGGGTTCAGGCCTCCCCTTATAGTATAGGGCTTAGGGGTTAGGACTTGGAGTTCCGAGCTTAGGGCATGCAGGGCTTTGGGTTTAGGATTCGGGGTTCCGGGTTTAGGGATTTTAGGGTTTAGGGTTTAGGGTTTAGGGATTTTAGGGAGTTTGTGGGCGGTGACCTTGGCAAGCCACGATGCCGCTCTTTGCAGGAACACCTCTTCAGAACAATCTCGACGAGTTCTACACGTGCTGCCAGTTCGTCTACCCGAACATGCCACATGGAAGAAACCCTAAACCCTAAACCCTAAACCCTAAACCCTAAACCCCACGTTGTTTTTTTCGAAGTGGCAGTTCCGTAGCATCGGCATCGATAAACCCTGCCAGATAGGCCCCTGGAATGTTTTGTCTTTCCTTAAATAGGGCTTCGGGCTTAGGCGGGAGCTTAGGATTTGGGCTGGCTCAAAAAGGTTGTGGGCAGGGGGGGGGGGGGGGGGGGGGGGGGGGGGGGGGGGGCGGGGGGGGAAATTCTCCACCCCCTAAACCTGGGCCCAGGGGTTTAGGGCTTAGAGTCTTTCCCTACCATTCCCTACTGTGTTGGGCTTAAGGGCTTAGAGAGGGTTTAGGGCTGAGGGTTTTGAGTGTTTTCAGAGTGTTTAAGCGCCTTTGCCTAGGCTACCTGCTTCCGCGGTCTTCCAGCGCGTTTTCAAGCACGCAATCGAGCCTCGGCCAGAACACAATGGGAGAAAGTGAGTTTAAGACAAGAACTAAGTGCTGAAACCCTAAATCCTTAACTAGGACACCGAGTAGGCCCTTATTGTCTAGGTTCCCTTATAAGCCCCTTTAAGCCACAAAGGGCACCCGTTTTGTTTCGAGGTAACTCTTAAGTGATGAGACCCTAAATTTAAATCCTTACCCTTAGTCCTAGTCGCGTTGAGGGTTTAGGGGGTGCCCCAAACAATCATAGAATTGAGAGGGTTTAGGGTGTAGGGTTTAGGGTTTTAGGGTTTAGGGTTTAGGGTTTAGGGTGCCCCAAGCGCAAAGCTCCCCCCCTCCCCCTCGCGCCAGTTTCGGGTTGAGAGCTGCGGAGTGAGGTGCCTAAACCATAAACCCTAAACCCTAAACCCTAAACCCTAAACCCTAAACCCTAAACCCTAAACCCTAAACCCTAAACCCTAAACCCTAAACCCTAAACCCTAAACCCTAAACCCTAAACCCTAGCCCTAAACCCTAAACCCTCGACCTTCTCGACCCAGCATCGGCCAAGGACCGGTCAAGAGACAAGAATGCCTCGGCCGAGGCAAGGCTTGCCCCCGGCGAGCTTTCTTGGGTTTAGGATGCAACTAGGGTTTCTTGAAGGTTTAGGGTTTAGGGTTTAGGGTTTAGGGTTTAGGGTTTAGGGTTTAGGGTTTACTTAAGGTTTCTGTAGGGTTTCAGTCGGGTTTAGCTATTCTATGCTTAGGGTTCCTTAAACCCTCGGCCCAAACCCTGAGCCCTAAGCCCTAAACCCTAAACTGTCAGGTGGGCTTGGGTTCCGTAAACCCTAAGCCCAAAACCCTGAACCCTAAGCCCTAAATCCTCAACTGTCAGGTGGGCTTAAGTGTTGGGGGTTTAGTAGGGGCTAGAACATCCTCAAAGCCTAAGCCCTGAAGCCTTATGCCTTGACGGGACTCTTGAGTCGGGTCTAGGGTTTAGGGTTTAGGGTTTAGGGTTTAGGGTTTAGGGTTTAGGGTTTAGGGTTTAGGGTTTAGGGTTTAGGGTTTAGGGTTTAGGGTACGGGGGGACAACCAAGGAAGGAAATCAACTCCCCTAATCGCCCTGAACTTATATTTCCCAGATCGAACCAAGAAACAACCAAGAACACGGATAAGAGCAACCCAGGGGGGAAGGAAAGGGGGAAGGAACCCACACCCTTACCAAACCCTAAGAACCCAGGCACTTCTTTTTGAACTTGTGGCTTTCTGTTCAAGCCCATCTTGAGCCAAATACGATTACCGGGTTCATTAACCCTTCCAACTTCCAACACTAACTCCTTTCTACAATACCAATTGCAGCTCCGCACTCCCCCTGTCCTAGGATTTCCTAGGACACATTGGAGATGCAGATCTTTTGGCCAAAAACTGCCATTACGGCAGCAGCCAGCTGCTTGAAATGCAAATTGTGGTTTAACGTCTTCCAGGACGGAATTATAGCACATTGGCTAACCTACTACCCATAGAGAATCTTTTTTCACCTTGATCCTCTCATCACTGAAGACTCCTTGGCCTTCTTCACCACAAACCGTGGTCTTCGCTACGCGAAAAGCTACTGACTCCTACTATCAGGGATTTCCATACCCTTAATAGTAACCACCACCTTTGTCAGCACATTGGCTGTTCCAGCGCACCGGTCTCCAGAAAGAGAAAAACCATCCCTTCATCCATACCATCCAATCACTTCTTTTTCCGATTGTTGGCAATCTTGAGGTGAAGTTGCAGCAGAATATACTCCAGGTCCGAAATCGTAAGAATAGGATCCTGTATGCCCCTTTGAATTGAGGATACCAATCCTTCTCTCTTCGCATCCTCAATCGCCTGGCAAGATTGATCCAGCTCTTCATTCGCATTGGCAGACCCTGGTGCCTCCGCATCGGATGGACGATCCTTTTCCTCAGGATCTTGCACCATTACCACCTCTTCTTTTTTGGGACTCTGACTTTTCTCCTTCTTCTTTGTCTTTCCACCGACATTTGACTTTGTGCGTGCTTTTGAGGCTTTTTCCACTGCAGAAACCACCACATTGGATGATGATCCACCCTTCTCAATGACCGCCGGCATCTTCTTCGGCTTTGGAACCATGAGGGTATAAGGATCTTCGATAGCTGCAGCTTTCCTCTTCTTTTTTACCTTTTTCTTCTCCTCCTCAACGGCAACCTCCGTCTCCGAAGTCTCAACCACTTCTTTTTCGGCAGGAATATCTTTGCTGGACTCCCCTTCTAGGGACCTCTTTTTCCCTTTTTTGGGATCCTTTTCTTCTCCCAAATTGGCTCGCTCATACCATATCCTCAGGTCATTGACCCATTCTTCCACCTCCGCGAGCGAAACATCGTACGACTTCACTACTTCGAGAAGTTCCAGCACTGACAACATTTCAGTGGTCCACGAAACCCATACTTGATCCATGTAGTCAGCATCTCCAGTGATCTTCAGGAGTTTGAACAATGGGTCCGCCTCTGCTCGAGCCAAATCTGACTTGCCATTGGACAGAAATGAAATCGCCTCCATCAACAGTTCCGTCATCTTGGTCTCTTCGTCATAAACCATAAAATCCTCCTCATCATCACCGAACTGTTCAGGAGAGATCTCCTTTTTTCCACCATTTGCACCAGACTTTCTCCTTGGACCATCCCTTGGGGGCGTCCTTGGAGACCTTGGCCTCTGTTTTTCCAACGGAACCTCATGTCCAAAGACACACCTGTCACCAAACCGACACTTCCCAGACCGAGCAAACTGGACGCACCTCACACCAGTTGCATCATGCGAGAACTCACAATCCTTTCCAGCGAAACATTCTCTCCCTGCCACATAGTACTTGCACCAATATGAATGTAGCACCACATCATCTTCGGAATGGATGAATTTGCAGTCGTCACCAAATTTGCAGCGATCTTTCCCTTTGCCAAACCAATAGCAGAAACCCTTCTTCCTCTTCTCCAAGCGCTCTGCCTCATACCGGTCCATAGGGCGACTGTGCTCTACATGAACATTGCCATGTACCTGGGGACTGCTCCCTTCACCCGACGTGCTATCAGTATTTGGTGCTTGGAGTACAGCTGGAAAACCTGGCCTTGGTCCTACCACCTTCATGATCGGTTTTCCGCCAACTCCTGAGCCATGCTGAGACGATCCAAAAACATTGAACATCTTCATGAAGGCCTTCCTAGCGCCAATCTTCTGCACCCTTTTGATTGGACGTTTCATTGCTCCAACCTTGCATCCAGATGCATTCAAACGACGCAACCTTCTAAACCCAACTCTATGTCCCTTCTTCCAAAGAGCCATAAGAATTTTAGAGGCAGTAACATTCTCCACCTCTACCTTTTCCAATGATCCCTCACTTCCCGGAACAAACCCATCCATATCTGAAGACCTTTCCATCTTTTTTGACACCACTTCGTCGAGGTAGTCTTCTGAAATCCAGGGAAAGTTCCCCTTAGAGGAAGGATTGTCATCATTGTTTGGTCCTTCACCAGGATATCCTTTGGTGCTGTCAAAGATCTTACCAGTAGTGCGGTCCTGCATAGAGAAATTCGAAGCCACGCGGGAGTACACTGACCACAAGAAAATCCTTGTGTCCGCCAGTCTGGATGACCCACTGGATTTCTCCTCTTCCGGAGAAACTTCTGGCGCTTTGCCCTTCCCTCCAGTGTCACCGCTTGTCTCACCTCCAGCATCTTCAATGGGAATAAGGGATTCATTGTTCCCTTGATCAAGCACCGCATCCTCTAGTCCAAGAACTTCCAGCATCGCTGTCGAAGGATCCACCTCCTCATCCGCATCGTCGTCCATCCTTCTCCAGAGAGCCTCCAATTGGTCCGCACAAGTCGCCGCTTGAAGAAACTCCATCAACCGAGCCCTCCCGCGCTGCCAGAGAAATTCTGAAACCATCACCGACCCTTGTGCTCCCAGATTCAGGAATGGGTGAACCATTTTGGCTACCCTCGCCATAAGTTCAATATGAACTTCCATGCCTGGACTGCGGCTCCAATCATAGGCAATTGCCTCCATAGCAGTACCAAACTTGTCCGTATTCTTGAATTCCCCTTCCAGACCAGGAGACAACAAGGCACCCATCACCGAAAGAGGGTAATTCCCCACCGCCGGCAAGCACGGGTTGTCATGGAACGAATGATGCAGGTCAGTATAATATCCTTGATCTCTCCTTTGAAAAAGGAGTGTTCCAGTCCCTAGCTGGGCATTCATTTCATCCACTTGAACCATTTCAGCACATATCCTCTGTGCCAGGTGCGCCATTGCTGGCCAGACGGTACGATCGGTCAGACCGCGACGCATAACCCAATCAGTTGTTGGCGACTGGATCAGCGTTCCTGGATCATACACCATAACCATTGCACCGTCTCCCATTGACTGATCAGCATCGTCCTCCAGTGCCAGGTTCTCATCCTGTTCGCTTGCACCCTCGGATGACATGCTAATAACCAAATTTCGATCCATCTTATTGGACCCTTTTTGGCAATCTCTTTGCCCCATTGGCAACTTGCCAACTGCAACCTTCCAATAAATTCGAGTCAGAAGGCCTTTCACCAGCAATTGCTGAAGGTCACTCCTCACCGGACCACCATCCAACATCTTCGCATCATTACCACGGAGATCATTGCTCCCGCCTTCTCCTTCTTTTTGGTCGGTCTCCTCGCCAGAAATCTGTACTGCTCCTTCCGGCGCCGTCTCCTGTCCAGCCACTTCATGCCCAGGAAGAACTTGAGCGCTTTCAGAGACATTCACCTGTCCAGCAGCACCTTGCCCAGGTAAAACCTCATCCGTGGAGCCCACCGCCAGCGAACCAACCATAACTGAACCATCCCTTGTTCTTTTTTGAGACCGTTCAGCTCGACGAGAAGGTTGTGGTAGCGAAAAAACTTGTGAAGTCACTTCTTGGCGGGTCTCCCCCCGCGACGCTTTGTCGCGCCCTTCGCCAAGGTGAACCGATTTTTTCGGCCCATCATTGGAGCCTGAAGAACCACTTTGTGGAACATTGCCACGACTCGCAGTTCTCCACGAATCCCTTTCTTGCAAAAAGAGTTCCTTCAGGCGTTGTACCGCATTGGTCTCCTCCTCGCTTGAATCGCTTGAGGAAGCGGCATACGAGACCAAAGCCTCCGCCTGGTCATCATCATCCACCACATCTGCCCACGCTCTGCTGAATGGATACGACAAACCACCACGAGGTTTCACCGGCTCCAGTGGCTTCGGTTTTTCCACCACTTCCGCCAGTTGCACTCGTCGTTGTGACCGAGATCGTGGCACCTGTCGCACCTGTTTTTTGTCCAGCAAGGGCCTTCCCCTTCTTACAGGGTTTGATCTTGACCGATACTTTTTCGTTGGTGGATTCACCGGCGGCATTCCAACTCCCACCAACCGCAGCTTCTGTACGCACAACGGAGACCTCTGCGCAAGCGTCCAACCATCACGGTACCTGACCTTATCAAAAAGCTCCCGATAGGAACCTCTCGGCATAGTTTTTGCACCGGAGTCTTCAGCTTCACGCACCTGAGTGAGGGTTCGCACCGCCGCTCTTCCAGTCCCTTTGTTCCCAGAAGATTGTTGTACCCGTACAGATGCATCAGAAGGAACTGCCTTTTCCGGTCCTCCCGGTCGATATCGGACCTCACCCACCAATTGCAGAATTTTGCATGCGGTCACTTTGTTGATCCCTTTGTCAACCAAATCTTCCACAAAGATGAACTCTTGCAAGTCCGACACATTGGTCACACCAAGCGTAATCATCACCTCACTTACATGAGGGGTATACACCCACAGGTGTGCGTTGCGAGCCATCCAATTTTCAATCGGCTCCTCCGGATTGTGAAGCTGAGTACTAGTGGATGCAGCCACCGAATTCTTTTGCTCATCAGCTTCTACTTCATCCAGAATACCTTTTTCACCATCTTTTTGTGACACATTGGTCATTTGCAGTGCTTTTGGTGCCGAGGATGAGGAAGATTCAGCTCCCCCACTTGCAGGTGGCTGAAAAGTGCTTCTGTCCGAGATCTCCCATCCTCTCTCCTTTTCAAACCGGACCTGATTGGCCACGTGTACCAGGTGTTTCAGGAGTGTTGACCGCTCCTCGGACATCTCGTCGTGTGAGTACTTGCAGAAATTTAACCCTTTCCGGCAACGTCCTCGGAGGTAATAATCGAAACAGCAATTGTGGAACCCTGCGTCCCTTAGCGCCTTCCTGGAAGCATTGTCCCAAGATTTGCCGGGCTCCCAAGTCCCTTCCAATGCTACATCATCGTTGTGAAGGTACCTGCATGCAGTCCCATATTTACAAGCACCTTGATTGTAATACAAGCACAGCCGACCTTTTGGCTCACCTGACGTAGGCTCACCCTTTGATGCACCTTTGCCAAAATTGTACTTGGCCCGGAAGGCTAAATCCTCCCGCTCCTGCTGTGCCTCATCCACTGTACCTTCCTCTGTGGGAGGGTCACCGATGTTCCCGTCCTCATCATCAGCTTCTTGGCTATTCTTTGGATCAGTTGACCCCCCTTCTGGCCAACCTTCACCGTACCGACGATGCTCATAGGGACACCCATCGCCATTGCGACACCTTCCCTTATTGAAGAACCTGCACAGCTTGCTGTAACCAGGTGACAACACCGTCTTTGGTGTCATGTAAGCCTTTTTGTACTGGTCAGGATCCATGTAGGCTTCCATTGGCTTGTTCTCCCTTTTGCTCATGGATTGCACTGCACCATCAAGCTCCTGCAAAAATAGCTTGGTGTCCAACCAAAGCGCGTTCCAAAACTCCTCTTCCCCTTGATCCAGCACCACTGCCACCGCATCACCCACAACTGGTCGAGAAAATCTCCTTTTCCTACGTGCCAGTTCGAAGAGCGCGTTGTGGTACTGTGTTCGGGAAAAGGTGGTTAACTCCCCCAAACCTGTGTTTTCTGTACCATCAGGCTCCCAACCATCATCTTGCAAGATGCCATACGCGCGCCGAGCTTCCGCATTGAGGAATGCCTGATCCGCAACACACTCCTGTAAATCTTCCATCGGCCGACCTAACAGCATCCCAGTAATTTTGCCAACATAGGCTTCCTCTTCATTTCCATTCTCCAGAAGAGCTTTGTAGATCTTTTCTCCATAAAGTTGCCTTTCTTTTCGTTCTTCAGAAGACAACTCCTGTACCACAAGCTCTTCATCGGATTGCTCTTCCTCCTGTTTCCAGTCCCATTGACCGTTGGAATCTTGGTACCATTGACCAGCATACCATGAATCCGTCCACCACGTACTCCAGCCGCTGGGTTTCCACTTCCGCAGCGTCGAAGAAGAGTCCTCCACGTCCTCTTCCAAAACCAGAAAGGTGTCCAAGATTATGGTACCATCATCTTCCACTCGTTTCACTGTTCCATTGACAGTATCACCAAACTTGAACTGATATGCATTGTTCCCTTCTGCAGGAATCAATACATTCATATCCCCATGGTCCAAAAAGGCTCCATACCCATTGATGCAGCGCACTAGACCCATGATCTCATCTCCCTCTTGATAGCAATGTGGCCCAGGTGACTCCAAGGCTCCCGCTCGGGGCACTTTCTTTACACGCTCTTCAGAAACCATCTCTGTATCATCGGCTCCTGGCGCATCCTTTGTCTTCACCTTTGGGTCACACTGCTCGTCCTGCTCCACGAGTCCCACAAGCTCATCTTTTTTGTGCTCCTGGATTTCAGGACCTCCCTTTTTCTCCGCCAACGGCTTTGCCTCATCTGCTGTAGTTCGCTCGGTGTCGACTTCCGGTGAACTTCCAGACGGCAACGCTTCTCCCTTCATGGGAGTGGACCCATCATTGGAGTCCTTTGTCTCACCTTCTGCAGCAGGCAAATCTTCTTCCACTGCAGGGCAATTGAGTCGATCATCCACGGCAGGCACGCTTTCTTCCACCGCAGGCTCCTTTGGTTCCATGGCCTCCAAAGGAGAATTTCCACCATCATTGACCACAGCTGCCTCATTGGCTCCGGTGTAGCCCTTGTCATTTCGTTCCTCGCTGCTAACTTCAGGTTGCACCAGTGCGTCCACCTGTGAACCTCCATCATCAGCTGCTGCGGAGACCTGCGCCCCATTGTTGCAGTCGCCCGTGGAACGTACCACCACATGCACCTCAACCCGTGCTTCCTTCGCACTCCAGGTAATATCTGGCGCATCAACCCGCGCATCATTGGCGCTCCAGGCCTCATTTTTCAGATCATCCGTGTCTCCAGCTATTCCAGAAGCTTCTTTTTCCCCTTGAATGGCAGAATTCTTGGCACCAAACGAAGAGACCTCCTCAGTCGTAACACACAACTTTTTCTCTCCATCCTCCGAATCTCCAGGACCACCTTCCTGAACAACAGGTACCACATCCACCACTCGCTCTTCTGCAGCCGACACAGTTCCGATCACCTCATTGGGCATTTTCTCTTCTGGATCCACCAATTCCATCGCTGCCCCACCCTCAGAAAGCGCTTCTGTTTCTTCCCGATCCAGGTGTTGAGCTCCAGCGATGTTGGCTTGGTTCCCAGGAATCCCTTCCTCATCAGGAGAACCCGAGGTCGGGGCGTCACCATCAGCCCTAGGACCGCTATCCCTGATAGTAGAGGAAAAATCTTTTTCACCTAAACTATTTACACTACCCTGGAATGCCCTCGTAGACTCAGTCTTCGGAGTAGAGGATGAAGAATCCAGTGCCGCCTCCATTTCCAGCTCATTGCCCAAAGGAGACCCAACCACCTCGTCACTCTTCACCTTTTCACCTACCACCGGCAATGTCCACTTGGTTTCGTGCGTATCCAGGCAGTAATAATATTGTCTCCCATCTTCATGGAGGTGCAATTCCCACATTGTGCCATCACACGCTTGGATCAGATGCTCGTCTTTCCGAAAACCGTCCCTTTCAGAAACCTGTCGCATCTCGTCCTCTTCTTCTGACAGCTGTCGCAACCGTTCAGCCTCCATCTGTAGGATCTCCTCCTCCCCCATGGCGTATTCAGCAGCAGGTGCAGCTTCAAAGCCGTCCGCACCCTTCTGTTTGTGACCGCTTCCACCACCTTGGGAACTCGAAGATGGACCCTTTTTGATCTTGTTCAACGGCCTCCTGGTCGCTTGTAGCACTTCTCCAATCAGATCGGTCTGAGACTCTTGGTCTACCATTCGACCCGAAGTCGAAGACGACGGCTGGTACCCGTGTTTGTGTAACACTCGTAAAACAGTCACCTCCATTTCACGATCTATGCCACCAGTCGCATCCCAGTTCCTTTTTTCACCAGGCTTTGGCGGTACAGAAACAGCACGTCCTTCAGCTTCAGCATTGCTAACCATATCCCTATTGGGATTCATACCCGCATTGGGGCTTTCTGCAACTAAGGCCTCTTCCAGATGTACTTCAGCGTCGGGAATCACCTCTTCCAACACCGATCTTTCACCCAGAGACTCAGCTGCACCATTTCCAGCTCCACCATCTTGTCCACCATCCGAGGCAAGTTGGAGCCATCGCTTCGGGGAAGGCATTGCTTCTTGATCCCAAAACCTTGAAAGAACACTTAACCGCAGGGAACCTAATTTGGGCTCATAACCTACGGGGGGACAACCAAGGAAGGAAATCAACTCCCCTAATCGCCCTGAACTTATATTTCCCAGATCGAACCAAGAAACAACCAAGAACACGGATAAGAGCAACCCAGGGGGGAAGGAAAGGGGGAAGGAACCCACACCCTTACCAAACCCTAAGAACCCAGGCACTTCTTTTTGAACTTGTGGCTTTCTGTTCAAGCCCATCTTGAGCCAAATACGATTACCGGGTTCATTAACCCTTCCAACTTCCAACACTAACTCCTTTCTACAATACCAATTGCAGCTCCGCATAGGGTTTAGGGTTTAGGGTTTAGGGTTTAGGGTTTAGGGTTTAGGGTTTAGGGTTTAGGGTTTAGGGTTTAGGGTTTAGGGTTTAGGGTTTACTACACCCTCCAGGGCTTGATGTTTCAGGGGGGTTTTAAGGCTTAGGGTTTAGGGTTTACTAAACCCTCAAGTGTACGAAAGCCCGTATGTAGCCGTCTTCGCCACCGGGAGGTCCAGTAGGGCCCATATCCCATCATGTCCCCAGCTGCCATCGAAATGTCCAAAAGTTCCACAGCTGTCCCCATGGAGTTACCCCTTTCTGTGGGTCCCGGGCTTTTCAGTGGGTGCCCCAAACTCCTTTACATCCTATCAAGTACACACTTTATAAGCTCCAAACCCTACCCGTACAGCCTGAACAACCTTAGAACATTAAACCCTAAACCCTCAACCCTAAACCCTAAACCCTAAACGCCACTCAAAACTGAACCACCAACAAACCCCGAATGCCGAAGAACTTGGTGAAGGAGCTGGCTTTGGGGAAGGCTCGTGAGGCGGAGCTGCGCCGCACGCCGCCTGTCCTTCCTGCTCTTTTTTTGGGCGGTTGTCAAAATTATGGTCCTCTTGGATCCCTATTATCATACGGCACCTAATGTTTAGGGTACCCCAAAAGGGATCATAATTACAACCACCCATATAGAAACAAGGACCCAGAGTGGGCCCCTATTCCCCTTGTTTAAGGTTCAGGTTCGCTTATCAGCCCCTGTATTTAAACCAAGGGTACACTGTTTTTTCCTAGGTCATTTTTGGGGTGTAGGAAAACCTGAAACTGGAATATTTTGTATCTTTCTTATGGGGTTTGAGAGGGTAATGTTTAGGAATATGCTTCGAGAGGGTTTTTCAGGGGTATGCTAGATAAGCCTTTGGTGTCTTGGTTTCTGTCGGATCTTGGCTGATATTCATGTCCGCCCGCTTCCTCAAAGAAGGCTCCCAAGACTCCACTGGCCCGTGCGCTTCGAGACCGAGGCAACCCCAAGACCCCACCAAGGGAGCAGATTCATGGCCCGCGTGTTTCGAGACAGAGGCACCCCAATACCCCACAAGGGAGCAACATTAGCAGCATCATGGCCCGCTTGTTTCGAGACAGAGGCCCCCCAAGACCCCACAAAGGAGCGACATCAGCAGCATCAGGGCCCGTGTGTTTCGAGACAGAGGCCCCCAAGACCCCACAAAGGAGCGACATCAGCAGCATCAGGGCCCGTGTGTGTTCGAGACAGAGGCCCCCAAGACCCCACAAAGGAGCAACATCAGCAGCATCAGGGCCCGTGTGTTTCGACACGGAGACCCCCCAACGCCCCACAAGGGAGCAACATTAGCAGCATCATGGCCCGCGTGTTTCGAGACAGAGGCCCCCCAATACCCCACAAGGGAACAACATCAGCAGCATCATGGCCCGTGCGTTTCGAGACAGAGGCCCCCAAGACCCCACAAAGGAGCAACATCAGCAGCATCAGGGCCCGTGTGTTTCGAGACAGAGGCCCCCAAGACCACACAAAGGAGCGACATCAGCAGCATCATGGCACGCGTTTTCGAGACAAAGGAGCAACATCAGCAGCATCATGGCCCGTGTGTTTCGAGACGGAGGCCCCCAATACCCCACAAAGGAGCGACATCAGCAGCATCAGGGCCCGTGTGTTTCGAGACAGAGGCACCCAAGACCCCACAAAGGAGCAACATCAGCAGCATCATGGCCCGTGTGCTTCGAGACATACGCCACAAGGGAGCAACATTAGCAGCATCATTGCCCGCGTGTTTCGAGACAGAGGCCCCCCAATACCCCACAAGGGAGCAAACTCAGCAGCATCATGGCCCGTGCGTTTCGAGACAGAGGCCCCCAAGACCCCACAAAGGAGCGACATCAGCAGCATCAGGGCCCGTGTGTTTCGAGACAGAGGCCCCCAAGACCACTCAAAGGAGCAACATCAGCAGCATCATGGCTCGCGTTTTCGAGACAGAGGCCCCCAAGACCCCACAAAGGAGCGACCCCCAAGACCCCACAAAGGAGCAACATCAGCAGCGTCATGGCCCGTGCGTTTCGAGACGGAGGCCCCCCAAGACCCCACAAAGGAGCGACATCAGCAACATCAGGGCCCGTGTGTTTCGAGACAGAGGCCCCCAAGACCCCACAAAGGAGCAACATCAGCAGCATCATGGCCCGTGTGTTTCGAGACGGAGACCCCCCAAGACCCCACAAAGGAGCAACATCAGCAGCATCATGGCCCGTGCATTTCGAGACAGAGGCCCCCAAGACCCCACAAAGGAGTAACATCAGCAGCATCAAGGCCCGTGCGTTTCGAGACGGAGGCCCCCCAAGACCCGACATTAGCAGCATCATGGCCCGTGCGTTTCGAGACAGAGGCCCCCAAGACCCCACAAAGGAGCAACATCAGCAGCATGGCCCGTGCGTTTCGAGACAGAGGTCCCCGAGACCCCACAAAGCAACGATATCAGCAGCATCATGGCCCGCGTGTTTCGAGACAGAGGCCCCCCCCAATACCCCACAAGGGAGCAACATCAGCAGCATCATGGCCATGGCCCGTGCGTTTCGAGACAGAGGCCCCCAAGACCCCACAAAGGAGCAACATCAGCAGCATCATGGCCCGTGCGTTTCGAGACAGAGGACCCCGAGATTCCGCAAAGGAGCGACATCAGCAGCATCATGGCCCGCGTGTTTCGAGACAGAGGCCCCCCAATACCCCACAAAGGAGCAACATCAGCAGCATCATGGCCCGTGCGTTTCGAGACAGAGGTCCCCGAGACCCCACAAAGGAGCGACATCAGCAGCATCATGGCCCGCGTGTTTCGAGACAGATGCCCCCCAATACCCCACAAAGGAGCAACATCAGCAGCATCATGGCCCGTGCGTTTCGAGACAGAGGTCCCCGAGACCCCCACAAAGGAGCGACATCAGCAGCATCATGGCCCGCGTGTTTCGAAACAGAGGCCCCCCAATACCCCACAAAGGAGCAACGTCAGCAGCATCATGGCCTGTGCGTTTCGAGACAGAGGTCCCCGAGACCCCACAAAGGAGCGACATCAGCAGCATCATTGGCCCGCGTGTTTCGAGACAGAGGCAAAGGATCAACATCAGCAGCATCATGGCCCGTGCGTTTCGAGACAGAGGTCCCCGAGACCCCACAAAGGAGCGACATCAGCAGCATCATGGCCCGCGTGTTTCGAGACAGAGGCCCCCCAATACCGCACAAGGCAGCAACATCAGCAGCATCGTGGCCCGTGCGTTTCGAGACAGAGGCCCCCGAGACCCCACAAAGGAGCGACATCAGCAGCATCATGGCCCGCGTGTTTCGAGACAGAGGCCCCCCAATACCCCACAAAGGAGCAACATCAGCAGCATCATGGCCCGTGCGTTTCGAGACAGAGGTCCCCGAGACCCCACAAAGGAGCGACATCAGCAGCATCATGGCCCGCGTGTTTCGAGACAGAGGCCCCCCAATACCCCACAAGGGAGCAACATCAGCAGCGTCATGGCCCGTGCGTTTCGAGACAGAGGCCCCCGAGACCCCACAAAGGAGCGACATCAGCAGCATCATGGCCCGCGTGTTTCGAGACAGAGGCCCTCCAATACCCCACAAAGGAGCAACATCAGCAGTATCATGGCCCCTGCGTTTCGAGACAGAGGTCCCCGAGACCCCACAAAGGAGCGTCATCAGCAGCATCATGGCCCGCGTGTTTCGAGACAGAGGCCCCAATACCCCACAAAGGAGCAACATCAGCAGCATCATGGCCCGTGCGTTTCGAGACAGAGGTCCCCGAGACCCCACAAAGGAGCGACATCAGCAGCATCATGGCCCGCGTGTTTCGAAACAGAGGCCCCCCAATACCCCACAAGGCAGCAACATCAGCAGCATCGTGGCCCGTGCGTTTCGAGACAGAGGCCCCCGAGACCCCACAAAGGAGCGACATCAGCAGCAACATGGCCCGCGTGTTTCGAGACAGAGGCCCCCCAATACCCCACAAAGGAGCAACATCAGCAGCATCATGGCCCGTGCGTTTCGAGACAGAGGTCCCCGAGACCCCACAAAGGAGCGACATCAGCAGCATCATGGCCCGCGTGTTTCGAGACAGAGGCCCCCCAATACCCCACAAGGGAGCAACATCAGCAGCGTCATGGCCCGTGCGTTTCGAGACAGAGGCCCCCGAGACCCCACACAGGAGCGACATCAGCAGCATCATGGCCCGCGTGTTTCGAGACAGAGGCCCCCCAATACCCCACAAAGGAGCAACATCAGCAGTATCATGGCCCGTGCGTTTCGAGACAGAGGTCCCCGAGACCCCACAAAGGAGCGTCATCAGCAGCATCATGGCCCGCGTGTTTCGAGACAGAGGCCCCAATACCCCACAAAGGAGCAACATCAGCAGCATCATGGCCCGTGCGTTTCGAGACAGAGGTCCCCGAGACCCCACAAAGGAGCGACATCAGCAGCATCATGGCCCGCGTGTTTCGAGACAGAGGCCCCCCAATACCCCACAAGGGAGCAACATTGGCAGCATCATGGCCCGTGCGTTGCGAGACGGAGGCCCCCCAAGACCCCACAAAGGAGCAACATCAGCAGCATCATGGCCCGTGTCTTTCACAAGGGAGCAACATCAGCAGCATCATGGCCCGTGCGTTGCGAGACAGCGGAACAGAGGCCCCCAAGACCCCACAAGGGAGCAACATCAGCAGCATCATGGCCCGTGCGTTGCGAGACGGAGACCCCCCAAGACCCCACAAGCAGCCATGGCGCGTGCGTTAGGGTATGAGGTGTAGGGTTGGGCTTCGAAAGCCTCACGGCTTTCCCAAAGGATCCATGTACCTATATGGTATATACTTGGGCCTTAAAGGGGGTTCCTATGTAGTAGCTTTAGGGCCCAAGTATCTACTATATAGGTACATGGATCTTTTGGGTATGAGGGCCTTTCAGAGCGGTACATGGGTCTCGCCTGGTCCAAGGACGTCTGCTTACATCCTCCGACGGGGGCCAGAGATCTTGGAGGAGTGGCGTTGGAAACATCATGGAACTAAGCCTAAACCCTAAACCCTAAGCCCTAAACCCTGTTGCATCCTTGGGTTTGGGGACCCGTATTAAAGGAATATACCTTAGGAGGCTGTACCTTTGGGTTTGGGGACCCGTTTTCCCCACTAAGGGACGGCCAGGCCCATATTCGGAGTATATTCTAGGATGCCCAGTAGTACCCTTATTCCCCTTTTTGGGGGTTTAGGTTCCCTTATAAACCCCTATAAGCAAAAAAGGGCACCCTCTTTAAGCCTAGGTTACTGGGCAGCCTAGTATTAAGGGGCTTTGGCAGGGGCTGAAGGGGCTCATGGGCATTTATAACCAGAGTTATAAGTCTACTTATAACCTACTTAGGGGATTTAGGGGGCTTATAAGTACAGTTATAAGTGGGGTTATAAGTACCATGAACCTCCAAGTATCTGAATCTGAAGGTTCATGGGATCTGCGGGTTGGGTTGGCATCGGGGTAGCCCATTTCAGGCAAGTGGGGATGCCGAATAGGATTACTCGGCTTATTCCCCTTGTTTAGGGTCGAGGTTCCCGTAGCAGGCCCCCTTGAAACCAAGAAAAGGGTATGAATTCACCTTTTTCAACCCAAAAAAATGGCAATTCACGTGTTTATTCCCAGGTCTAATTTAGACGAACTACTAAGGGTCAAGGTAAGGGCCGCTGCTTCTAAGAGACCAGTGAGGCTCCACATCTCGGCTCTAACCCTTAAACCCTCAGGCTCTTGGGCCTTCAAGACACCCGCCAGGGTTTAGGGTTTAGGGTTTAGGGTTTAGGGTTTAGGGTTTAGGGTTTAGGGTTTAGGGTTTAGGGTTTAGGGTTTAGGGTTCCCGCGCCCCCTTTACCCTTGATGCCTTGGTCCTAAACAGGCAGCCTTGAAGCCCCAAAAGATCGCCAAAGTCCAGGAGATCCTTCCAAGTCGTACTGAGCTGCTGCTGACACTTGGTCCCAGGCTTTTGATGGGTTCAGGGATGTAAGGTTGCTATCATTGGACCCTCGGTTTGAGGGCGTAGAGCTTTGCCCAATCTCGTTTTCGTACATACGTGTGGCAATGTTCAAATGAGTGTTTCCAAGAATAGAGGGAGCTATTTTAGACGCCAGTTATTCCAGAATCCCCCTTAAAACGGAGGAATCCGCAACAGGGGGCCCCCCCCCCTCCTATTTTCGGAAACCCCCAGCGTTTAGCACTAGGGGCAGGTTTCGTTCCTTTCCGCTTTCTTCTTTCTCCGCAAATATTGAACTTATAACTGCTTTGGACTTCCTTATCAAGCGAAGCTAGGTACTTCAGGGCCATACGGGTTCAGGGTTGGGATCCTGGAGACCCCAAACCCTAAACCCTAAACCCCAAACCCTAAACCCTAAACCCTAAACCCTGAACCCTGAACCCTGCGCTTACCTGAAGGATCACGGATCGCAGCAAGTACGCCGGTCGGGTCCTAGGCTTCTGACCTACCGTAGCCCAAACACTAAACACTAAACCCTAAACCCTAAACCCTAAACCCTAAACCCTAACCCCAAAACCCCGAAAACCCAAATGCTACATCCCTGTAAACCCTACCTGCACACCCCAACTATCCTTGAAAAGAAAGGGGGCTTACATACCCGGGTTGCTGGTAAGCCCTAAACCCTAAACCCTTTAACAGACCTAAACCCTAAAAGCCCTGAGCCCTAAGAACCCTAAACCCTAGAAACCCTAAACTCGAAACCCCAAACCCGAAACTCTAAACCCTAAACCCTTTAAAAGCCCTAAACCCTAAGAGCCCTAAACCCTAAACCCTAAACCCTAAACCCTAAACCCTAAACCCTAAACCCTAAACACTAACCCTAAAAACCCTAAACTCTAAACCCGAGGCCTTCAAGCATGCGGCCTCGGGACCCCCTTATCGCCGAGGACTGTGCACCTCACCGCTTCGCAGGTTGCGGCTGACGGGCTGCAAAAATGGGGGAGGGTAGGTTTAGGGTTTAGGGTTTAGGGTTTAGGGTTTAGGGTTTAAGGTTTAGGTTTTAGGGTTTAGGGTTTAGGGTAAACCCCAGCCCTGAACCCTACACCCCAAATACAAGCCCCAAAGCCCCAACCCCCCAAGCCCGAAGCAAGTAATCTCCTAAACAAGACACCCTAAACCCTCACCCCTCAAACCCTAAGCCCGATGTAGGGTTGTGCAGGTGCTATCCGTTTCCCCGTCGCATGCGATTGATGTCATCAACTGATGCTTGTTTGCCTGCTTGATCTCGCGCCTTCTCCTTGTCGAATGAATCGGGCAGATAGGGGATGTTGAACGTAACTTACGAATTTTCCGAGATGCACTTAGGGTGAAAAGCCCTTGATTTTGAGGAGTATCGATATCAGTTCACTAGTCTTAGTGGCTGAATGAGTACACTTTACACTTTTTTGGGATACTACAGTCCCTATAAAACTAAAGGTTCGCACTTTTGGGGGCCCATGTTGTGATGTTTCAATCAGGGTGTCAGGTTGGGGGGTTTAGGGTTTAGAGTTTACCCTAAGGGTCCATGTACCTAATTATGGAATACTTGGGCCTTAAAGTACTTCCTATATAAGGACTTTTGGGTCTAAGTATATAATAATAAGGTACATGGACCCTTAGGGTTAACTAGAGTTCCGGGTTCAGGGAGGGTTTTATAACGTTGGCTTAATTGGGGTGCAGACAAGAGAGAGTGGACCCTAGACCCTAGACCCTGAACCCGAAATCCTTCGCCTCGTGTTTAAAGGGCGATATAGGGATGACATTATTTCCCTTTTTTTTGGGGAGGTTCTGAAGCAAATAGTAGTTTTGAGTCGTTCATCACCCTCCGTTAGTTTTTTCGAGCTCTATAAGGCAAAACATCCTCAAAACCCTGCAACAATTTGAGAAGAAAACACCTGCTGACCTTACAGTAAGCCGTCCCCTATCTTGGCAGCTCGGGTTTGGGCTAAGCACCGGCCGATGAACAAAATCCTTGACGTCTCAGCACAGGAAGTTTCCAAACCTGCAAAGTGCTTAGACCTCGTCGGGGATTGTTTGGCAAGTACTTCGGGCGTCAGACAACAAGACCCTGTGACTGGTGTTTAAGTCCACAGTAAACCGTAGAGCGACTTCTCTGAAGCCTAAACCCAAAGACCCTCAACCTTAAGCGCGAAAAAACCCATCCCCAAAACCCTGAACCCCAAAACCCCAATTCCTAAAGCCTACAACCCTACAACCCTAAAACCCAAACCCTAAACCCTAAACCCTAAACCCCAAACCCTAAACCCTTCCACGCTGTTCTCTGAGGCATATCGGGGAGCCTGCCAGCTCCGGACAGCGGCACGTCTGATAAACATCCCGGAAGCAACACCGTATCTCAAATGTTAGTGTTTAGGGTTTAGGGTTTAGGTGTAGGGTTTAGTGTTTAGGGTTTAGGGGCTGTGAGTTTTAGGTTTATGCCTTATCCTTCCTCATACCCGGCCCACGCGTTTGAGCTGTACTGTCTGTTGCAAGCGCCTACCCCCCTGGACCAGAACCCAACTCCTTTGATCCGGTTGCCCAGAGCATCATTGACACGTGTAGGCAGCCTGCTGATGTTGCTGGGTTCGGGGTCGCAGGAACACACCAAACCCCCTGCCCCCTAAACCCGAAAGCCTGAACCCCACACGCTCCCCCCCTCCCCCAAATTTTAACCCCTAAACCCCTAACCCCAACCCCTAAACCCCTAACCCCAAACCCTAACCCCTGGCCCCTAACCCCCAACCCCTAACCCCCAACCCCTAACCCCTAACCCCCAACCCCTAACCCTAGTCCCCCCCCCACCCCAAGCAAGAAAGAAAAGGCGAGCCAGTACGGCGATGGCGTGCACCTGCAGCTGCTGATGTTTCTTCGGCAGCTGTGTAACGATCCTCAAGGACTACAGTCTAGATCTCACCGGTTTAGGGTTTAGGGTTTAGGGTTTGGGGTTTAGGGTTTAGGGTTTCCACAGGACCCAGGTACCTTCACTAGGCCCCAGAGTAGGCTCCCTCGTTCTCCCCTTTTTGAAGGGTTGAGGTTCCCTTTGAAGCCCCTTTAACCCAGGGCCTCCCTTTATTTCTAGGGTCTGGTTTGTTCCTAGGGTCTGGTTGGTACAAAGTTCAGGGGGTTCGGGTTTTGGGAACCCTAGACCCTAAACCAGGTACCTGTATGTAAGGTTTAGCGTTTGGCTTTTGGGGATTCGGGTGTTAGAGAGCCAGGTACCTTTGAAGGAAATTCGGAGTACTTGGGCCCTGGAGTCGTTACGAGTCGTTGCTACACATTCCTTTCTGGGCATACATGCAATGTAGATCTTTCAGGTCAGAACCCTGCCCTTAAACCCTAAACCCTAAACCCTAAACCCTAAACCCTAAACCCTAAACCCTAAACCCTAAACCCCTAAGGCCTAGAATCTGCATGCCTCCAAAGCCGTGAGCCCCACCAAAGCGTAGGGCTTAGGGCTTTCGAAAGCAGATTTTAGGGGGGGCCAGATGTCAGCTTGTATGACCCTGAACCCTAAACCCTAAGCCCTAAACCCTAAACCCTAAACCCTAAACCCTAGACCCTAGACCCTAAACCTTGACCCCTACACCCCAGGATTGCCCAACAGCTCTCTCCTTGCCCCGCCGTATGTATAAACCCCAAGCAACCCTAAACCCCTTCCCAAACGCTGGGGTTGGAACCGTGTGCCCTCATTATGGCCCCTTACCCTTGTTTATTGGGATCCGAAGTATGAGCCCTTACTTCTATACAGTGAAGTTCAGGGTTATATAGCAAGGCCCATACTTGAAAACCTAGAACCCCAAACCCGAAACCCCAAACCCTAAACCCCAAGCCCTAAACCCCAAGCAACCCAAGCCCCACCCAACCCCCAAACCCTAAACCCCCAACCCCAAACCCTAAACCCCAAACCCCAAACCCCAAGCGAGCACAAGCCCTCGGCAACCCAAACTCTCGCCTTGTGCAGGACTCCGGGCGAGCTTGGACAGGCGCGTCGCGGCCCACCACCAGGGCGTGGGAGCGGCGCAGAAGGCCTTTGCAACTTAGGGTTTAGGGTTTAGGGGTTAGGGTTTAGGGTTCAGGAGGTTTAGGGTTTAGGGGTTTAGGGGTTTAGGGTTTAGGGTTCAGGAGGTTTAGGGAGGCCTACAGTCTTAGCCTCAGCACCTGAAACACCTTCAGGGCCTCCGGGGCTTGTAAGGTTGCGTGGGTGCCTGCATTGCAGGTCGGCAAGCCCCTAAGCCACGAGGCTTTTGGCCCCGAATCCGGTTCAGGGTTCAGGATTTATAGGGTTTAGGATTTATAGGGTTTAGGATTTATAGGGTTTAGGGTTTAGGGTTTAGGGCTTCTAGGGTTTAGGGCTTAGGAGTTACAGGGGTTTAGGCTCCCCTAAATCCACCCTGAACCTGAGCCTAAACCCACCCCGAGCCCTCAACTGCTCTCGAGGCCGTCTAGGGACCCCCTAAACCCTATGCACCCTATCGCTCCGAGGGCGTGGTCTCTTGGGGAGGCTTTTGGGGATTCAAGTCCCTTGAAGATTAGGGGTGTAGGGTTTTGTGGGTTCAGGGCTTAGGGTGAAAGAACCTTAGGGTGGATGCCTGGTAGTTCCCTTCTTCAGGGTCAGGCTCCTGTTCAAGACCCCATCAAAGAGAAGGCACCCCCCTTCCTAGGTTTCCGGAGAACCGAGAAGCAAATGAACCCTAAACCCTTAACCCTAAACCCTAAACCCTAATCGCTAAACCAGCTTTCATCCGGGGCGAGTGATTTGGCATTGGCGAAAGAGCATGCAAGCCTCCGGCAGTTGAGACTGGGAGTTCCTGCCTCGACTCTGAGTGCCTATAGGGCCCGGAGTAGGCCCTGATTTTCCTTCTTTTAGGGTTTAGGTTCCCTTAGAATCCCCTAAAAACCCAAAAGTAAAGGGTACTATAGGACCCGGAGTAGGCCCGTAGTTCCCCTTCTTTTTAGGGTGTAGGTTCCCTTATAATCGCCTTCAAAAAAAAGGTACCCTTTTTTGCTGCACTGTGTGTCTGAGGCCGCGACCGGGTACCCTTTTCTATTCCTACGTTACTCATGGGTCTGGGTGCTGAGGCCACGGCCTTGAGCATTGAGAAAGCTTTTCACCGAGCAGTACATACTTCACCTGTGCGACTGATTAGATGACTATGAGTATCCCCAAACCAGGCTCTCGAAGTGCAGCTATACCAGTTCCTTAAGTAGGGACTACCTGGTTTACAAAACCTGAACCCTGGACCCTAAACCCTAAACCCTAAACCCTAAACCCTAAACCCTAAACCCTAAACCCTAAACCCTAAACCCTAAACCCCTTCCTTTCTTATTAGGGTCCCTGAGCCTTTGAGCAACCCTCTCCCGGACAGACCGACTTTGTGACCGCTCTGACCATGGAAACTCCCAACGCCAAGGACCCCCACTTTTTTTTCGCGTTGGGTTTAGGGTTTAGGGTTTAGGGTTTGGGGTTTGGGGTTTAGGGTTTAGGGTTTAGGGTTTAGGGTTTAGGGTTTAGGGTTTAGGGTTTAGGGTTTATGAACTCTGTCAGCCTTTGCATATTCTCCCTGTCAAGGACCCTAAAATCTGAAAGCTAAACCCCAAACCCTGAACTCTTCATACAAAGCTTTTTGCCGAAATGGGGACTCCAATGTACACAGACCCCCCCCCCCCCCCACCCCCCCCCCCCCCCACCCCCCCCCCCCCCCCCCCCCACCCGCCCCCCCCCCCCCACCCCCCCCCCCCCCCACCCCCCCCCCCCCCCCACGCCCCCCCCACCCCCCACCCCCCCCCCCCACCCCCCCGCCACCCCTCCCCCCCCCACCCCCCCTCCCCCCCACCCCCCCCCTCCTCCCCACCGCCCCCCCCCCCCCCCACCACCCCCCCCCCCCCCCCCCCCAAATGTTAAGATATCGGGTTTAGGATCTAGGGTTTCGGGTTTGGGGTTGAGGGTGTAGGTTTAGGATCTAGGGTGCAGGGTTTGGGGTTTAGGGTTTAAAGCGTACTTAGCCAGTAGTTGACGGAACTTTACTTGCATTGGGCTTCCTGATTTTGTGGAAACAATGCATTTGGATTAGCCGTTGTTTGTTTCAGTGCCTATGCTCACCCGCAACCCAAATCCCCTAAACCAAACTCCAAACCGTAACCGTAAACCCTCAACCCTAAACTCGCAACTTCTCATGGCTTAGGTTTTAGGGCTTAGGGCTTAGGGCCTGGGGTTTTCGCTTCTGCTCGCACAGGAGCACATGCCCACAAACCCGACAACATGTTGAGGACAAGCTTTGTCGGGGTCGCGAAGCCCTAAAACTAAACCAAAAAACCCTAATCCCTAAACCCTGCACCCCCTGAGCCTTAGAGGCTATACCAGGCCAGGAAGGAGGCTAACACCTAAGTGCCGAAAGCTGGGAATCTGCAGCCAGATGGGAGGCCAAGACCTGGGCCCTAAACGCTGGGGATCCTAGACCCCGAAACCCCCAAATCCAACTAAACTCTGCCTGATGGCTCCCCTCAGGTGGTTTTTTGTTTGGTAAGTTATAGGGGGAGTATAGAACACAACCCTAAACAAAAGCTACTGCGCAGGAGCCTTTGAGTACCCCTAAGCCCGCAACCCTAAACCCGAAACCCTACACCCTAAACCCTACACCCTGAACCCGAAACCCTAAACCCTAAACCCCAACCCCGAAACCCTAAAACCCTGAACCCTAAAACCCTAAATCCGAAACCCTAAACCCGAAAGCCTAAGCTTAAAAATCCTAAATTCTAAACCCTAAAACCCTAAATCCGAAACCCTAAAACCCCGAAACCCTGAGCCCTAAACCCTGGGAAGGAGGCATCGCAGCCTGCAACTGCTCCCGACTTTGACATGCGCTGCCAGCAGGTGCTTGAAGGCATGGTATAAGCCCTAAACCCTAAACCCTAAACCCTAAGCCCTCAGCCCTAAGCCCTAAGGCCTAAGGCCCAAGCCCTAAACCCTAAACCCTAAACCCTAAACCCTAAACCCTAAACCCTAAACCCTAAACCCTAAACCCTAAACCCTAAACCCTAAACCCTAAACCCTAAACCCTAAACCCTAAACCCTAAACCCTAAACCCTACCTGCTAGGTTGTGAAGGCTTCGGGTTTAAGGGCTAAAGGGCTTAGGGCGTAGCGACTCGGAGTTTCATGGTTTTTTGTCAAGCTTTGTTTTCAATGTCTAGGTTTATGGTTTATAGGTTTAGTTTCAGGGTTTAGGGTTTAGGGGTTTAGGGTTTAGGGTTTAGGGTTTAGGGTTTAGGGTTTAGGGGTTTAGGGGTTTAGGGTTTAGGGTTTAGGGTTTAGGGTTTAGCTCCAGGGTGTGGGATCCAGGGTTATAGGCAGGGTTTCGGTATGTTAAGGGTTAAGGGTTTAGGGTTTGGAGTAGAGGGTTAAGGTGTCATAGCAGGGTTCCACACACTTGTGGACCAGGCTTTCGGAGTTTAGGGGTTAGGGTTTATAGGGGTTTAGAACTCTACACCCTACACCCTGAATAGGTTTTCGGAGTTTAGGTTTAGGCGTTAGGGTTTTTAGGGCGATTTTGTGGCTTAGGGTTCAGGGCTCACAGCGTTTGCGCCGATGATGGCACTGATACCGCAGGTGAACCTGCCGGCAGCGCAGAAAAATCAAATGACAAACGAGAGTGCAGAGTGGCATGTGGCAGCGGTGCCGAGAAAAAACGACCACTTGGTACCTTGAAAAGCCAAGCCTGACCTCGTCTGGTCGAAAGGTTCGACAAGTTCAGGGCGGCGAAGAAGGTCTCTGCAGATGGATCGCCCCATGCTGCCGGACTCCGCCAAGAATCCCAAACCCTTTTTGGTTTGGGGTTTAGTGTTTGGAGTTTAGGATTTCGTGTTTGGGTGCCACTCGTGCCCTTATTCCATTGTTTCGGGTTGGGTTTCGACCCCCACCAATCTGGACAGCCTAGTTAGCCAGGCAATCCGACGATTTCTAAGTGGGGTTTAATGAGGGTTTAGATTTGGGGTTTAAGGCCCCTGCACCCTAACCTAGGGCCCCCAACCCTAAACCCTAAACCCTAAACCCTAAACCCTAAACCCTAAACCTTAAACCCCAAACCCTAAACCCTAAACCCTACACCCTATCCCCAACAGGACCTACATGTGGTCTTGTCCGGCTTTGTGGGGTTCCACCCTAAGCCTTCATCTGCAACGCCTGGTAGGGTGTAGGGTTCAGGCTTTCGGGCTTTAAGGCTTTCGGGTTAGGGTTTCGGGCTCTAGGTGGCAAGCGTACCGGGTTGGTGACCGGTTCGATTGGTTCCACAATGAGCTCACAGACGGTTTAACTCATTGTGAACGCAGATTAGGGTTTAGGGTTTAGGGTTTAGGGTTTAGGGTTTAGGGTTTAGGGTTTGGGGCACGAAACCCTAAACCCTAAACCCCAAACCCGAGAAAGCCCAAACCCCTGAGCCCCTTAAAGCCCCAAAGCCGCACCCCCTGAACCCCCAAAGGCCTCCCTGATCTCTCGAGTCTAACCCCGAAATCGCTAAACCCTAAACCCTGAACCCTCAGCCCTAAACCCTAAACCCTGAACCCTGAACCCTCAACCCTAAACCCTAAACCCTAAACCCTAAACCCTGAACCCTCAACCCTAAACCCTAAACCCTAAACCCTAAACCCTAAACCCTAGACCCTACTCCCCGGCAGCCCAGACCCAGAGGCGCCTACGGCGCCAAAGCCGCAGAGGGCCCCGGAGCGCAAGCGACGACAAAGGAGGCAGCCGCAGAAACGTTCGGGGGGTCAGGGTTTAGGGTTTAGGGTTCAGGGTTCAGGGTTTCGGGTTTAGGGTTTAGGGTTTAGGGCTTAGGGTTTAGGGTTTAGGGGCGCTTTCCGGTTTCGGGTAGTGGGGGGTCGAGGATCCGACACCTTGTTGAGTCTCCGGCCTTTGCTGCGCAGGCAGCGTCTGCGAAGTTGCGGTTGCTCCAGGACTGCCTTGCTGCGATTAAGGGTTTAGGGTTTAGGGGTTTGGGGGTTAGGGTTTACCCTAAACCCTAAACCCTAAACCCTTTTAGGGTTTCAAAAAGGGCACCCGTTTTATTCCTAAGTTACTCCTGAGTCTAGGTTAAAAGTTAGGGTTTGGCACTGAACCACTAAGTCTTTCCTGGCGGGCCCTTGACTTCGTCAGCCTGTGCAGTGGAGGGGTTTTAGGGGTTTAAGCCTGAAGCCCTGTAACACTCTTCGGAATGACCTTTTTGAACTAAATCCTAAGTTCGAAGCCATCTACCCAACCCTAAACCCTAAACCATAAACCCTAAACCCTAAACCCTGAATCCTGGCCTTCAACTCAGGGTCACTCAGACCCCCAGAGCCTCAGTGGGGTTTCGGGTTTCAGAGACGCCTTAAAACCCGCAGACCCTCAGTCCCAGAACACATCGCCCTAAAGCCTGAGCCCCTTAGCTCCTAAACCCTCAACCCTAGACCCTAAATGAAGCAGGGTATATATTTCTGTTTTTGGTGAGTGTATATAAGGTTCCTTTTTAATATTGGTGAGTGTATATACCCGGTGTCCTTTTGGGGGTACAAGAAATATATACCCTACTTCATATACCTTAAACCCTAAACCCTAGACCCTAAACCTTCAGAGCCTCAGAGCCCCAGACCTAGAGCACAAGGCGCCCAAAACTGCAGGAGCTCTTGGGCTGGTTGAAGAAGGAGGTGCCTCTGGGATTTAGGGTTTAGGGCTTGTACTTGGAGGTTCATGGTACTTATAACCCTACTTATAACTGTACTCATAAGCCCCCTAAGCCCCCTAAGTAGGTTATTAGTAGACTTATCACTGTGGTTATAAGTGCCCATGAACCTCCAAGTAGGGCTGAGGATTAGGGTTAAGGTATCAGGGTTTAGGGGGTGAAATTAGGGTTTAGGCGGCTTAGGGTATAGGGTTTAGGCGGTTTCTTCATGTCCCTAGGCCCTATACTTCTAGGCTTAGCATCTCGGGGTTGGGGGTCTGGTGTGTGGGGTAAGAGGGTTTAGGGCTTAGGGCAGTTTAGGGTTTAGGGTAGGAGGTCATGGTGTTGGGCTTCAGCGCGCTTTGGGTTTTTCCAGGCTTCTGAGCTATAGTTTTCCAGGCTTCAGGCTGGGGGCTTTGTTGCTTCACCCTAAGCCCGGGCCCGAACCCTTGAACCTTAAACCCTGTTCAAGGTCATCGGGGTGTGTTGGGGGTGTTTTCGGAGGTGTTTTAGGGCTTCAGGGTTTTAGGGTTCTGTCGTTTTGTTGGCTTTGTGGACTTTAGGGGTTTATTTCTTGAAAGGTTTTGGGTTTAGGAGCGTTAGGGCCTTTGGTTTTGTGAGTGTTGGACTTGTAACCCTAAACCCGAAACCCCTGTGTTGGAGCTTTCTTGTTTCGGGCCGAGGTGTGGATTTGTCGGCGTTTGCCGTTGAAGCGGCAAGCTGTTTAGGGTTCAGGGTTTGGGGAACCCTACACAAACCCTACTCCGTTAGCCCTTCTCTTAGGATAGCAGAAATCACAGAAATTCATAGAGCCCTAAACCCAAAACCCAAAACCCTAAACCCTAAACCCTAAACCCTTGTGGGGCTCTGCGAGGCTTTGAGGGCTTTCGTTTGTGCTGGCAGGCACCCTCAGACGGCATTGCGATCGTTTCGAATTTCTGCTCCACACAGAGCTCTTGCAGAATCTTGCCTGTACACCTGGCTTGGGTTGCAATTTAGGGTTTAGGGTTCAGGGTTCAGGGTTTCGGGCTTACAGGGCTTACAGGGTTTACAGGGTTTGCAGAGCTTAGGGTGCACGGTTTAGGGTGGTACAAGTACCCAGGCCGCTCACTCGCGTCGCTATCTCGACCCTCTCTCAGTCTCTTACTTTGACTTCGAGATCCCGAAAGGCTCCGAGCTCTCTTCTTTCAGGAATATGACATTGGAATAAGGAGTATTTTAGGGGCCGGGCTGATGCCTAACACCATTTATTCCCTTATGACCCATACTACAATAGCGCCCCCCAAAACATATGATAACCCAAATTTGAGTTAGATTTGTACCCCCCCCCCCCCCCCCAGAAAAGAGGCCCCATGAACCTTCAAAAAGGTTCAAGGGGAGGTTTGAAGCCTAAACCCGAAACCCTGGACCCGACAACCTAAACCCTTAAACCCTTCAAGCCCCTTCAGCCACCCAATGAGAACGCTAAATCCTTAAACCCTTAATGCCCAATTTCAACCACCCAAAGAGGAAACAAAAGCCCGTAAAGCCCCTGCAACCACCCGAGCAGAAGGCTAAACCTTAAACCCTTAAAGCCCAATCTCAACCACCCAAAGAGAAAACACAAAAATGGACGACGATGCTTCAGGCGAACTGTGCCAGCGGCTGGGCTTTCGCGTCTTCACCCTGGATGGCTCCACAGCCGTCTCGAAGCGTTTGGAGCTGGCAGCTTGGGCTTAGGTCCAGGGTTTAGGGTTTGGGGTTTAGGGTTTGGGGTTTAGGGTTTAGGGTTTAGGGTTGAGGGTTGAGGGTTTAGGATTTAGGATTTAGGGTTGAGGGTTTAGGGTTTGGGTTGGGGTTTAGGGCTTAATTGGGGTTTAGGCTTCGGGGTTGGGGGTTTGTAGGCTTTGGACTCTATCGGGTTTAGGGTGTGTTACGGTTCAGGGGTGTACTTTAAGAGCCCTACAGTAGTACACGAATGCCTACTACTCAAGGCTTTGCTTTCCGGGTAGGTGCCCATGGTAACTTAGGCAAATCGATAGTTGCGGTTGAGGGTTTAGGGATGAGGTTTCAGGTTTAGGGTTTCCCCTAAACCCTAAACCCTAAACCCTAAACCCTAAACCCTAAACCCCAAACCCCAAACCCTAAACCCTAAACACTAAACCGTATCAACCCCGAGTTCTGTATGCCGATGCAAACACAGGTCTCTCGCTTCAATAAGCTGGCAGAGCCGAGGGTGTACCTTGGAGACTGATTAGGGGTGAGGGTTTAGGGTTGAGGGTTTAGGGTTTAGGGTTTAGGAGGGTTTAGGGTTGAGGGTTTAGGTTTTACGTAGTAGCTGAATGAATGCCCTTTACACTTTTTGGGATATCATAATCCCCTGTAGGCTTATGAGCTCAGCAACTAAGTTTAGGATTTGGGGTAGTGGTTGAGAGGTTGGGGGGGCTTTGGGAGGGGTTTGGGAATTTAGGTTCAGGGCTTTGTGCTTAGTTTCCGGTTTCGGGGCGAAGGCTTTGTTGGGGTACAATGGGCTTTAATTTAATATAAGGTTCTAAGGGTAGCTACATGGTCCCTGAACTTGGTCCCTTACCTTCTTTAAAGGGTTCTGAAGCGGGGGTTTCGTAGAGTACATAAAGGGTATCTAAGGGGTCCCCAGCCAAGTGCCCATACGAAGGGGACCATGTAGCTACCCCTCGAAAGGTTCAGGGGTTTGGTCCTCGCACCGCTGGGCCAGATTGTGTGCACATGCGCTGACACTCTACTGGTCGCATGGAGAAGCCCAAGCCCTCAACCCTCGACTCTAAACCTCACCGATTCCAAGGTTTTTCGTGCCCCCCCCCCCCCCCCCCCCCCCCACCCCAACCCCCCACTGCGGCCCTCGAAAGCTCGAGCTCCCTTTATCACCTAGTGAGTCTCCTCAAAGTTATGGTCCTTTTGGGTACCCTTAAGTATTCGGGGCTGCCTTACACGAGTAACCCCCAAAAAGAGGCATATAGAGAATCCCCCCACATAATCTCCAATTGTCAGGTTCCTACTCTCCGCGAAAGCTGGCGGCGTCGGCACCGGCCTGAGCCGAGCAGCACCCATCGAAGACCTACAGCAAGCTCATATCCGCAAACCGCCCTAATACCCCAGCCCAAAACTCAAAACTCTAAACCCTAAACCTCAGCCGCAAACCTCCGAAGCTCTCTTTGAGCCCCGATTAAAATACGCAGCAAGCCCCAAGACCCAAATTTGCTGCGAGCCCAAGAGTTGCTTTCCCCGAACGCAATAAAGTCCCCAAACCCTATACCCTCTACCGTGTGCCCTGAAAGGCTGAGGACCCAAAAGACGAGGTCTAGGGCTTACAAGATACTACAAGCAACCCTAAACCCTAAGCCCGAAGCCCTCAACCCTAAACCCTAGTAACACCACACCCTCAACCTTACATGGCCGTGGTGAAACAGTGCGGGGGTTTAACTCTAAGGATCCATGTGCATTCATAGTATACACTTGGGCCTTAGGACCGTAGCTTTAGGGTATGGTTTCCCCTACTACGCCCCCTCTATGCTCCCCCCCCCCCCTGGGTTCCCCCCTTGAATCGAATTATCCCTGAATAGCCTTAATTATAGGGGGAATTTAGGGGGGGGGGGGGGGGTGTAGAGTGGGGTAATAGGGGAAACCATGAAAGTAGAAACTATCTAGCTACATGGGTCCTTAGGGTCGGAAATTTAGGATGCATGATGGGGGATGGGCGAAAGGGGGTTTAGGGGGTTTAGGGGTTTAGGGGGTTTAGAGCTGTTTGTTGTGGTTTACACCCTCGCAGCCTAAATACCCCTAATCCCCAAACCCCAAACCCTAAACCCCAAACCCCAAACCCCAAACCCTAAACCCCAAACCCCAAACCCTACTCAACCCTACACCCCTCCATAGCTGAGGCTTGAACATCGTGGGGGCCAGCCGCTTGGTGCTGCTGGAGCCGGGGGTAGGGGGGGTTAAGGGTTTAGGGTTTGGTTTAGCATGTGGAGCTAAACAACCCGAAACTTTATCGTAAATACACTCTGGAGAAACCCTAAGCCCTGGACTTCCCCTAAACCCTAACTCCCCCCGCCCTCCCTTTTTAGACGGTTTGGGCTTTGACGGGAATCTGGGTTTGGGGCATTGTAAGGCTTTAGGGTTTAGAGTATAGGTCCAGGTTTTAGGGTTTGGAGGGGGCGAAGAGTGGATAAGGGGTTTCAGCCCGTGTTCGTTGTCTTGATATGATATACAATTACAGAACGTGTGCATGTGTACACACACCACTTTCGCACGATACATGTGAACAAACGTCAGGTTTCAGGGTTTAGGGTTTCCGGCTTAATCACTTAGGCAGACTAAGGGCTCCTGTTTCCCAACACCCCCCCCCCCCCCTTCCTTCCCAGCCCCGCCCCCTAAACCCAGGAGAGTGGAACCCCACATCTTGTACCAAATCCTCAACCCAACCCTAAGCTCTAAACCCTACAACCTAAACCCACCATGAACCGGATGTTAGGGGGTTTGGTAAAGCTAAGTCCTAAACCCTAAACCCGAAAAAGCCCCCAACAACCAGCCGGGAGGAGCCAGACTGGAACCCAGCTGTGGACCAGCAGGCCATGGGACGAGTTTGGCGCCAAGGCCGACAGAGGAGGAGTTTCGGGCAGCTTCGGCCATAGGGTTTGGGGCCTTCTTAGGGGTTTAGGGTGGTTGGGATTGAGATTTTAGGCTAGTTTGGGGGTTTAGGATACTTCCCCTAAACCCTAAACCCTAAACCCCTAAACCCCTCGCCGTAGGCCAGACGAAGCCGGTCTTCATCTACCGCCTGGCAACCCATGGCACCCTGGAGGAGAAGATCCTTCAGCGCCAGGCGGCTGGGCTGCCAAACTGAAGCCGGGCTTGGGGTTGAGGGTTCCGCACTGCCCAGGCGCACAAGCAGGGCCTCGCTTGCGCCCTGGTGGAAGAGAACGAAGGCAGGACCCTAAACCATGTAAACCCTAAGCCCTAAACCCTGAACCCTAATCCCTCAAGCCTCAGCCCGAAACTCTTAACCCCTAAGCCCTAAACCCTAAACCCTAAACCCTAAACCCCAAACCCTAAACCCACGCCGAGCTTCTTGCAGGTGCCTTGGTGTCCAAGGCCGACATTAAGGAGCTCTACAAGGCCGCCACAGGGTTCTGCGCTTAGGGTTTGGGGTTTAGGGTTTAGGGTTTAGGGTTGCCACGTGGAATCCTAGGGAGGGTCACAGGGCTCAAGGGAAGACAACACTTGTGCCCTGGCAGGCGTCTGAATCCCTGAGCAAGGCCTCCCTTCGGCTAACTACCCGGGACTCTACCTAGCCCCACCCTAAACACCCTAAAAGGAAAAATAGGAAACCTCTAAACCCTAGACACCCTAATCCCTACCCCCACTCTTCAGGTATTTGATCTCGATGGCTACACTCCCGATGGCCGCCCTGGGTCTCGCGCCGACGTTGGGGCCTCGCTCTTGAAGATTCTGTGGGGGAGGGGGTTAGGGCTTAGGGCATTGGGCTTTGGGCTTAGGGCTCAGGAGATGAGTGGTTCAGGGTGTACGATATAGGGTCAGAATTTTAGGCTTCTCGGGCATGCGCTGACCATGCTGCAGGGTTTAGAGGTCCAGGCTTTTTGGGGGCGGACTAAGGGTTGAGGATTCATGAGATTCATGAGGATAAAGACGACAACAGGGGACCCCTAATATAGACCCCCCCCAAAAAAATTGAAGGATTCCCTTGTAACAAGGACCCCAAGAAGGTGCCCATGAGGTTCATGAGGTTCATGTCTGGTCATGCATGGGGTCATAGTCTCACTTAGGACCTCTGTAAATGCTCGCACCTACGAACCCCCAACAAGTCACTAGGCTTCGTGAGCCTTCTATCGTGCTCAAACCCTAAACCCTATGCCCTAAACCGCAACCCTAAACGCTAAACCCTGAACCTTAAACCCTAAACCCTAAACTCTAAACCCTGAACCAAGCCTAGTTTACGGGTGTTGTTTAGGATGAAGGGTTTGTGACTGGAAACGCAGCACCCCAAACCCTACGACTTAGTAGGAACCCACCGAGGGCTTAACTTCCGAAGCAGCATGTACTTGGTATACCCAACCTCTCAGCCTCTAGTTCTTAGCCCTTCAACGCCTAAATCCACTTTGGGACCCAGATAGGTGTGGAGGAGCTTCCTCGTACGTAGGCCTACCGGCCTGAAGGCCTTTTGTTGCCGAATCACGTGCAGGGGTACATGACTTAAGGTTTGAACACCTAAACAAGAAACCCTAAACCCTAAACCCTAAACCCTAAACCCTAAACCCTAAACCCTAAACCCTAAACCCTAAACCCCTGATGGCCGCTCCTGGTTCAGGTGCCGGCCCTTTTTCTGCCAGGAGGACTACCAGAGGCTCGTCTGTGGGCCGTTGACGTTTAGGGTTTAGGGTTGAGGGTTTAGGGTTTAGGGTTCAGGGTTCAGGGTTCAGGGTTTAGGGTTTAGGGTTTAGGGTTTAGGGTTTAGGGTTTAGGGTTTAGGGTTTAGGGCTGGAGCACCTCAACTCTCGGAAAGCCCGAAGCCCGAAACTAAAGCCCTATAGTGCATGAAGCCCTACGGGAGCTAAGCGCCCACGCCGTCAACTTAAACTAAAGCCTTGAGATGTTCCCCCTTATACTAACAGTCCTTAATAGGGATTTTGAATAGGGGCTACTAGAATCCCTATTAAGGACTCTTAGCATAAGGGGGAACATTCCAACTAAAGCCCTGCAAGCCCTAGTCCTAAACCATCCTGAACCCCCTAAACCCCAAAACCCCAATACCCCTCAAACCTAAACCCTTACCAGCACCCCCCCCCCCCCCCCCAACTGCCCTTTAACCATAACAGTAGGGTATATAAGCCTCCTTTATTCAAGGGAAGCTGGGGGTGCAGGTAGCCCTAAACCCTATACCCTAAACCCCTACACCCTAAATCCCCTGTTCGCAGGCCTGGCGCCTCCCCTCGCTTCATCGGGCGGAGCTTCTGAAGACCACGGATCCCCAGCTTCGGCAGAAGCCGCCCGGCTGGCCGGGGGAGGGTTTAGGGTTTAGGGTTTAGGGTCTAGGGTTTAGGGTTTAGGGTTTGGGGTTTGGGGCTTAGGGTTCAGCACTCCGGTCGAACAGTTTTATGTTTCAGTTTTGACTACGGCTCACCCACACAGAGTATCCCACAACATTGAGAAAGCAAAAACGGCCAACTTCTGAAATATTAAAGCGGCCTTATTCTGAAAATAAAGCGGCCTGATTCCGAAACTAAAGCGGTCTTATTCTGAAAATAAAGCGGCTTTATTCTGAAGTTCAATTAAGGTGTAAACAAAAAAGTATAAACAAATAACAATAAATAAATAATAAATAAATGAATATAAATAAATAAATATATGTATATATATATACATATATATATATATATGGTAGAGAGGGTTTAGGGTTTAGGATTTAGGGGTTAGGGCTTGGTAGCCCAGAGGTACCTTTTTTTGGTTTCAAGGTTCCCGTATAAAGTAGCTAACCCCAAAAAAGGGTGCCCTTATCGTAAGATGGCTACTGGGCTACTGTTAGAGCTTAGGGTTAGTGATAGCGTACTATATGGGGGGGACCTAAAAAGATACCCCAAATTTGGAGAACTACCCACAATCAAGTTCAGGAACTCGTGGATTTGCTTAGGGTGGAGTGTTTCCTGAACCCTAAGCCCTAAACCCTAAACCCTAAACCCTAAACCCTAAACCCTAAACCCCGCGGGGGGGGGGAGGAGAGGGAGGTAAGTAGTGCTTTGGGGGTCATCTGAAAGTTTTATGAGGGTTGAGCCCCTCTTCATGTCTTAAAGCCTAGAACAAGGGTTTAGGGTTTAGGGTTTCGGGTTTAGGGTTTAGGGTTTAGGGTTTAGGGTTTAGGAGGCCTACATGACTTTGAAGCTGGGAAGTTCCTCCTTATCCTGCCAGTCCTTAATAGGGACTATAGGTAGGGGAGGGGATTAGAGACTCCCTACTAAGGACTCTTGGTACAAGGGGAAACATCCCAACTTTGAAGCCTTACACCTGTCTAGAGGTACAGAAGCCTACGCCAACATCTTCCATCGACTTAGATCAGACAAACTTTTCGGCATACCATGCTAGTTGCCGAGCCTCCCGCACCCCTACCTACTGTACGCCTTCTTGGTACTCGTTCCCACACCCACAAGGCAGCAGGGTTTCTTTGGGTTCCTAGATACTGGTCTCCCTCACCGCTGTACATGAGGCCCTCAACCCTAAAGCCTAAACCCAAAGGACTCATCTACTCCACAAGCAAGTGCCCATAATTTAGATCAAGCCTTCAGGCACAAAGGGTCCACCTCTGCAGTCTACACCCGAGCCCCTAAAGCTACTATATGGGAACCCCCTTTAAGGCCCCCAAGTGTATACTATACAAGTACATGGACCCTTTTAGGGTGGGTTCAGGCATTAGGGTTGGAGCTTGATATACCGTGTCCCAGGTATGCGATGGATGAGCGAAGCGGCAGTGCAGCGCCTCTGTTCTTGCAGTATGGGTGACCTGCCACGGGCATGAGACGTTCACACGCTCGCTTCTTGTCCATCCGTATCCTTATTGTTTTTTCTCTAAGGGTTACAGTAACCTGAGTATGAGGGTCTTACATCTGAGGTCCCCAACAGGTACAAGGGTACTGGAATGCATGAGAGCTCTTGCAATAGGCCCCGACGTGGCCCTTTCATGGGAGCTGTGTGCGTTTGCATGCACATGTGCACTGACACCTTCCGAGAATGCCGGAGGTGTGGGTTTTTGCACGGATTCATCGTGCTTGAAGTGAATTCGAAACTCTGCGCTTCTGCAGAAGAATACGTAGAAAGTGGCAGCGCAGGCACCCACATGCAGGGCCCGCTTGTAGGAACGAACCATTCTGGAATTAGGCACCTGGAAGCCCTAAAATTCGTATGGCTTCTGTATTCCCACACCAGTACCACACAAAGGGGCACTAAGGGTCCTTGATACGCCTGATGCTCTGAACCGCAGTGGGCGCACGGGAGCTCCGCAATCTTGACGGACGTTCAAACTGAACGAATTCCAATTGACCTTTGTCATAGTGGGGTAACATTGTACACTTTTTAGGGTACTGAAGCTCAAAAATGAATAGAAACTTATATTTGTGATACTACCCCAACCATGAACTAGAATACCCATTGTGCCTCCAGTTCATGGGCTTCCTCCGCCCTGGCTCTTTAGTACGCTGTGGCTTGACGGGATCTCAAGCAGGAAAAGGCGTGTCGAGGATTGTTCGCTTGGGGGCTATCGAGCCCCGTACCCCTGCTGAGTGTGCAGGGGTTCCGGTAGGGTTCCCTAAACCCTAAACACCCTAAACCCTAAACCCTAGAGTTCAGCCTTGCAGGTTTAGGTGTGAAGTTATATGCCCCAAACCAGCAGATCACTAGGGCCACTAGGGTCTTGTTAGTACTTGCACCTAATATCAGATGAGTCCTACAAAAAGTAGACCTTCTGGGAAATGGAAAGCTTTGATACGTTGCAGAAAGCCTAGCTTCCCAACCCCAAACCCCAAACCCCAAACCCCAAACCCCAAACCCCAAACCCCAAACCCCAAACCCCAAACCCCAAACCCCAAACCCCAAACCCCAAACCCTAAACCCTAAACCCTAAACCCTAAACCCTAAACCCTAAACCCTCTTCCTCATGCAACCCGCAGGCCCTGGAGTTCGACAAGACTTCTGCCTACATGTTCTTCGAGGCCCTTTGGGATTTAACCCTAAGCCCTAAACCCTAAGCCCTAAGCCCTAAACCCTAAACCCTAAACCCTAAACCCTGTCTTCTTGAGGCGGATTCAAGCCATGCTTAAACTGCACGGGGGGGGGGGGGGGGGGGGGGGCTCGTAGGGTTTGGGGTTTAGGGTTTAGGGTTTAGTGTTTAGGGTTCAGGGTTTAGGGTTTAGGGTTTAGAGTTTAGGGTTTAGGGTTCAGGGTTTAGGGTTCAGGGTTTGGGGTTCAGGGTTCAGGGTATAGTGTTCAGGGTTTAGGGTTTAGGGTTTAGGGTTTAGGGTTTAGGGTTTAGCGTTAGGGATGAAGATGCACCCAAGTTCCGGAGCACATGTGTGCTCATGCATCCTAACCTTGGCCGAGTTAGGGGTTTCGTGTCGCCAAGGCACTCAGGCGTTTTGGGGGAGCTCACGACAACCCTAAACCCCAAACCGTAAACCCTAAACCCTAGACCCTAAACCCTAAACCCTAAACCCTAAACCCTAAACCCTAAACCCTAAACCCTAAACCCTAAACCCTAAACCCTAAACCCTAAACCTCTCCCTGTTGAAGGAGAAGCTGCCGGAGCTTCGTGAGGAGTTCGGGCTCAAGAAGCCGCATGCTTGGCGGTTTAGGGTTTAGGGTTTAGGGTTTAGGGTTTCGGGTTTAAGGGTTTAGGGTTTAGGGCTTAGGGTTTAGGGTTTAGGGTTTAGGGTTTAGGGTTTAGGGTTTAGGGTTTAGGGTTGGGAGAACTTTCGACACTTGAAGCACTAAGAGCCCTAGCGCCGGCCTAAAGTTCTGGTACTGGTTCTTGGTAGGATGAGGGAAGTAGGTACCTTGAATCCACCTGTATAATTTTAGGGTTTAGGGTTTAGGGTTTAGGGTTTACGGGGAAGGGAATCTACAGGGTACCTCATTCCCTGATTCCCTACTCAGAACCAGTAGGTTCCGCGAGAAAGTCTTAAGGCAAGACTTGGCCTGCCAAAAACCCAGAAACCTACAGGGGGTAGGATGTCTGGGTGTAGGGTTGAGGGTTTAGGGTTTGGAGTTTAGGGTTTAGGGTTGAGGGTGTAGGGTTTGGGGTTTATGGTTTAGGGCTTAGGGTTTGGGGTTTTGAGTTCTCCAACTCTTGAAGCGGATCCTCCCTGGACAGCGCATCCTGCGTCGCTGGAGTGGCCGCGAAGCAGAATCTCAAGGTCCTAACCCCTCGGCCCTAACTAAACCCTATTAGGTGCCCAGAAGCCTGATTTACCTATTCCACAGAAGAGGGCCCCAAGCCCTAAGCCCCCACACTATAGGGCCCCAAGCCCTAAGAAACCCCAAACTCCCAACCGCAAACTCCAAACCTAAACCCTAAACCCCAAACCCCAAACCCTAAACCTCAGACCCCAAACCCTCAACCCTAAATCCTAAACCCGCCAAAGCCCGCAAAACCTTCGGCAAAGCCTGGGCCCGAGGTACGTGGAGGCCAACCAGGGTCCGGGAGATCTCATCATCGTCCCCTCCGGCTGGCCGGGGAGGGGAGGGTTTTGGGGTTTAGGGTTTTAGGGGCTTTTGGGATGTTAGGGATTTTAGGGTTTTAGGGTTTTAGGGTTTTAGGGTTTCAGGGTTTTAGGGTTTTAGGGTTTTAGGGTTTTAGGGTTTTAGGGTTTTAGGGTTTTAGGGTTTTTAGGGTTTTAGGGTTTTAGGGTTTTAGGGTTTTAGGGTTTTAGGGTTTTAGGGTTTTAGGGTTTTAGGGTTTGAGGGTTTGAGGGTTGTAGGGTTGTAGGGTTGTAGGGTTGTAGGGTTGTAGGGTTGTAGGGTTTTAGGGTTTTAGGGTTTTAGGGTTTTAGGGTTTTAGGGTTGTAGGGTTGTAGGGTTGAGGGTTGGGATGTTTGGGGTAAAGGGTTAAGCGCTTCGGAATGTTTAGGTTTCGGGGATGTTTAGGGTTTATGTTTTAGGGCTTGGGGTGTTTTTTGGAAGGGGGGGGTTTACCAACCAGAACGCTAACTGATCCCCAGCCCTACAACCCAAAGCCTCAACCTCAACCCTAACCCCAAACAGAAACAACACACACTGGTCCTTCAAGCTTCAACCCTATACGCTCGAAGTTTCGTTTCTTGGGACGCCGCATAGCACCCTACCCCTAAACCCTAAACCCTAAACCCTAAACCCTAAACCCCAAACCCTACACCACTCAGAACCCTCTGAGGCCCCAGCTTCAGGTTTCACGTTCAAGGCCGTTTTCTAAGAGGGTTCTTTGGTCCCAAGCCCTACACCCTGTAAGCCCTGCGCCCTAGGCGCTGAGCCCCGAACCCTAGAATGCAGAACCGAGCCCCGAAAGGATGTAGGGTTTAGGGTTTGGGGTTTAGGGTTTAGGGTTTAGGGTTTAGGGTTTAGGGTTTAGGGTTTAGGTGTGCGGAGACGTCTTGCTGACCCTTCCCGGGCGTGCCTGGCGAGCCAGAGATGTGTCCTGCAGCTGTCGCAAGACATGCTGCCATGCTTCTTCATGGGCGGGACGATGCGGCCGCTGAACCCTAAACCCTAAACCCCAAACCCAACCTGTGATTAATTAAAAGCTTGGGGTTTAGGATTGGGATTTGGGGTTGATTCGTGTCTGGGTTGAGGGGGGGGAGGGTTTTTGGGGCTTGGGATTTAGGATTTCGCGTTTTGGGTTTCGGTTTTAGGGTTTGGGGTTTGGGGTTTTGGCTTAGGTTCAGGCTTGAGGGTTGAAGCCTCAAGTTGCTTAGGCTTGGGGGTTTTGGTTTCCGGTTTTAGGGCTTAGGGTTTTAGGGGTGTTTGGGGTTCAGGGTTTAGGTGTTGGTGCAAGGTATCGGGTGTACTGGGTGAGCACCTCTCCCCTTTTGCAGAAGGATAAACTGCGTGTTTTTGTTGTAGGGGGTATGCTTGGAAGGTGTAAAGAGCGGGCATTTGATTGCCAAATCTGGCCACTCAGTTTCTTGTGTTGGCCGAAGGTTGGGGGCCTTCCCTAAACCCAAAGCCCAAAGCCCAAAGCCCTAAACCCTAAACCCTAAACCCTAAACCCTAAACCCTAAACCCTAAACCCTAATTAACCCTAAACCCTAAACCCTAAACCCTTTGGTGCAGGGTTCAGCCCACAGCTGTCCTGGGAAGGTTTCGCGTGTCGCTCGCTTTAGCCGACTCCTTCTCATACTACGCCTCGGGCTGAGACGATGGAGCTTCAGGGTGTTTCGGGAGGCTCTGCGTGGGTTTAGGGTTTAGGGTTTGGGGTTTAGGGTTTAGGGTTTAGGGTTTAGGGGTAGGGTTTGGGTTGAGGGTTTAGGGTCGGTGTTGGGGAATGCTGGGTGTTCAGGGCGAAATCCCTCAGCCCCCAACACGCTAAGGGCTTACAGGGCTTTAGTGTCTCGAGAGATTTGCAGGGTTTTTAGAAGCGAGGGTTCAGCATGTAGGGTTCCATGTTGAGGGTGCAGGGCTGAAGATTTGGAGTTCCGGGGGTGAGTTTTTTTTTGGTGTGGTTTAGGGTTTAGGGTTTAGGGTTTAGGGTTTAGGGTTTAGGGTTTTGATGTTTCGGGTTCAGGGCTTTTCAAGGTCTTCAGGTGTGCGAGAGCGAAGCTGGTCTTACTCGGTCTTAGGCCCTTGGGAATGAAAGTCCTGAACCCTATAAGCCCTAAACCCTAAACCCTAAACCCTAGACCCTAGACCCTAGACCCTAGGCCCCAGGCCCTAAATCCTAGACCCTCGCCTCGTTGCAGGCATCTCGGGCCAGAGCACCCCACCCAGCCCCCCCCCCCCCCCCCAAATGGGTTTAGGGTTTATACGGTTTAGGGTTTAGGGTTTTGGTTTGAGGGTTCAGGGTTTCGGGTTTAGGGCTTAGGGTTTAGGGTTCTGGGTTTAGGGTTTAGGGTTTAGGCTACCCCGCCCCCTCTTCCCCCTCCCTGAAGGGCCCTGGCGGTGTAAGGCATTTGATTCCCGATCTGCTTAAACTAAGAACTATACTCTGTCATAGTGGGGTATCATGTGTCATTTCTAAGGGTACTTAAACTCAACAAGGAATAGAAACTGAATTTTTTATTGCCATCCCAACCATGAACTAGTACATAGCAATTTCAATTTTTCTTCTTAAGGGTTTATCGCGCTGTCAGGAGACAATATTGAAGGGCAAGGAGACCTTGTCCTCGCTCACCGACAGCAACGTCTGGAGGCTGTGGCTTCTCATTTGATTCCAGAACTTGACTGAAAGTTTCAGGTTGTCCCAGAATCCTAAACCCTAAGCCGTAAACCCTAAGTCGATGTCAATCAATATCTCCGTTCCAGAATTCTAACTCTGCACGCCGCAGCCCTAAACCCTAACCCCTAAACCCCAAACCCTAGCAAAAGGACGGCTCTCTCACGGCATCCCCTTTTTTTGTGGGAGGGAGGTTGGGCTTCGGCAGCTTGGGAGGGAGTTAAAGTGCAATTTTTGAGGTGTAGGGTTTAGGGTGTAGGGTGTAGGGTTTAGGGTTTAGGGTTTAGGGTTTTAATGTTGAGACGCTAGGTTCAGGGCATAGCGTCATCGGAGTGCCCCGTGAAGAAGTTGAAGCCTGCCTCAGTTCTCGCCTTTTTTGGAGGTACAGGCCTACCCTATAGGCCCTATAGGTGAGACCCTACACCCCTGACCCTAAACCTAAATCCTAAACCCCAACCCCTAATACCTAGACCCTAAACCCTAAACCTTGAACCCTAACCATGAAACCCTATTCCAGACCAAAGAGCCGTAGGCCACAGTTCCGACAATACCGTTTGGCGTACTGCTACACGCCCGCCACGGTGGACGAGTGGGGCCGCCTAGCACCCGTCGGAGCTTGTTGGGCAGTTGGGCCCCTCTTATCTGGGTTCGTTGACTGTGTGGGAGCGGAAGGGGAAGGGGTTACGGGTTGATAGGGTTTAGGGTTAGGGGGCTGTATTTCTTATATTTAGTGCTCGAAACCTGAAAGGCTGCACGGCGTGGCTTGGGGCTATACCTAGTGCCAAGACACAAGCCCTACAAGCCGAAACCCTAAACCCTAAACCCCAAACCCTAAACCTTAAATACGTACTTAGTACTAAGTGCTTTCTAAGTTCCCTGAGCCTGCAGGTAGGAGGGCTCGGCAGCCTAAGCAAAAAAACCTCAACAAAGGGCCCATAAACCAACCTCGTGTCTAAACCCCTTATCACCTAAACCTTCACCTAAACCCTGTACTTACGAAGCTCCTTCAATCCAAAACCACCCGAGGCCTCAAAAAAACATTTCGGGTTTAGGGTTTCGGGTTTAGGGACCCGGCTCGCAAAGGCTGCCTGGCGTCAAGGACAACGCTCAACTGCGAAATTGGCTGAAGAAAGCCATAGACCAGGTCGGGGGCCCGCATTCAAAGGGCTCAGGGACAAGTAGGATTTTGGTTAAGGGGTTAGGGTGTAGTTATAAAGGAGTTAATTCTAGGGTTCGGTGCATGCTGGTCTAGGGCAACATGTCCAACCCTACATTGCAAGACTGAGGAGTTTGAATAGGGTTGATCCGTTAAAGTTACATGGTCCCTAAACACGGTCCCTTACCTTCGTCAAAGGTTTCTGACGTGTGGGACCTTGGGTTTGCCAGAGTATGCAAGGTTCTTCGCGGTCTGGGGGACCCAGAATTGGGGTCATGGAGGACCCTGCAGAGCAAGGGGCCATACCCCCAAGCCCTAAGAGGCAGCATACAACACATGCAAGAAAACACACAACTGCTCTAGGGCTGCTAAGGCTCCCCTAGACCAGTCCCTTCAGGAAGGCAAGCAATGTTTTGGTGGGGGGGGGGGGGGAGTCCTATAAGACATAAAACCAGACCCCCAAAACCCTAAGCCCGAAAAACCCGAAAACCCTACAAAGCCTCAACATCAATCCCTAAGACCCTGAAGGCCAAAACCCTAAACCCTAAACCCTAAACCCTAAACCCTAAACCCTAAACCCTTAACTAAACCTAGCCCTGGACCCCGAAGGAACCCCAAAGAACCCTCGGGAGCCTGAAGACGCTAATCCCTAAACCCCAAACCCTAAACCCTAAACCCTATATAAACCCCAGGTGCAGCTGGACGAGGCGATCACCGGAATCCTTGACGTCATGCTTCAGTCCTCCCAGCCAGTTTTTAGGGACCCTAAACCCTAAACCCTAAACCCTGAACCCTAAACCCTAACCCCTAAACCCTAAACCCTAAACCTCAACCCCGAACCCCTAAACCCGAAACCCTAAACCCTAAACTCCAGCGGTTAAGGGGCTTCAGGGGTTTGGGGGTTCGTCTCGCAGGGATTAGTGGTTCAGGACTTCCCCCGCCTCCGTAGCCAGCGTGCGATTTGCTTTGTACACCAGCGAAGCTGTTTGAGGCCCAAGTCACCGGCCCTCGGATTCATGCCCGTGTTGCGTAGAGGATGCTCGCAAGGCAAGGTCTGGCTGCATCCGAATACCCTGCCAAGCATCGGTTGCCACCGCCGAGTCTTAACACTTACGGCAGCTCAGTTTCCCGAGGCCTTTGGTGAGGACCGATCTGTAACAAATGCTGCCTACGCAGGGGATCCACTCTTTAAGTTGCATGGTCCACGGAAAGGACGCGTCTTGCAACAGGCCGTTTGGCAAGTGCTGCACACGCGGTCCCCATGCATACCACTGACAAGTGCACAACCTGGCCAGCGTGCAAACGGCAGCAAACGGGGTGACAACCAAGGTGAGTTCGATTTTGCACACGGAGATCGCCGGGCCGAGTGCAAAGGAACCAGCATGGCTTGGGTTGCTGCAAATCGTTGCTGGGCTGCGCGCTGGCAGAAAATCAAGTTCAAACACGGACTTTTTGACGATTTGTTTCTAGCATTGCACTCACCTGGCCATGTCGATGTTGTCTGGCATGACTGTGTGACAGGCATCTCGCATGCAGGAGTGAAAACAGCTTTTCTTGGCCACAACGTTAGGGTCAACGCTGCAAAAGGCTGCCATGATGCAGGAGAGGCGTGCACAGAGATACTTCGAAAGCTCGTTAGCTCCCAAAATCGCTGTCAGCATGTGGCCTCACTGTGTTCTGACAGTGGCTACATTGCCGACCTTGTCTCACGAGAGCTGAATACAGAGAGTTATCGGTTCGCTGCATTCTGGTACAAAGGAGTCCCCCTGGCCGAGCTCGTCCCAAGTTTGCGTGGCTTGCGTCTGCAAGATGTGGCCGTTGCAGTCGACCAGATTCTTCATCCGAACAGTGTCTTCCGACATGGGCCAGGTGCGTCTGAGATTGTGGGCACGCTTCTGCCTCAGCGCCGTGGCGAAAGTAGGGGCAGTGCTGATTGGATGCGAGACATGGTCCGAGTGGAATTCAAGTCTTCTGTGCTTTCCTGGGACTGCACTTCTCGACGATGGCGGGCCCAGTTTTTGTGGGTAAAATTTGGTTCGCAGGCCGGGTTCAGCAATGCTCTGTTCGACGAGTTGTGGCTTGGCCTGTACAGCCCTTTCGGGCTCTACTTGGTACAATATTCCGGAACATTTGGACGCTCCAGGCTGGGCGTGGCAACAGATGACCTTGGGCACAGTATAGCCGTGCGCGGGCCCTGCCATGAAGAATGCCCCAGAGTTTCCATTGAATCAATACTCACGAAGCTGGAGGGGTCAGGATGCAAGCTGCTGGCCATCTTGACGTGGTAGTTGGCCCCTAAACCCTAAACCCCAAACCCTAAACCCTAAACCCTAAACCCTAAAACGTGAGGTGCCCACATGCAGCAGTAGCGACCTTGAGGATGTTGCCAGCTGCCATCCTAAGCTACATCTCCAAGCCCGACAACCTGAAAGTGCAGACCCGAACAACTTTCGGGATGTTTTCGCTCGTTTTAGGGTTTAGGGTTTAGGGTTTAGGGTTTCGGCCACGTGTGTCCTGCGCGGTTGACATCTGTGCCACAAAAAAAACCCAAATGCCTTCAGCAGCCAACAGCCGCAAGTGGGCCTCGATGAGGGGTTCTGTTTTGTTCCGATGTAGGGCAACGCAAACACATCATGGGGATCACTTGGAATCGAATTAGGGTTTTGGTTCAGGGTTTAGGGTTCAGCTTTGCGGGTCTCGAATGTCAGCACGTCGCCGCAACAAAGCCCTCAGCATCTGAAGCTCTACGACAGCTGACTGTTGGGCTCCTTAGAGGGGCTGAGTCTTCTTTCCTTGACCCTCAGCGACCCTCAACCCTAAACCCTATAAACCCTGTAAACCCTATAAACCCTATAAACCCTATAAACCCTATAAACCCTATAAACCCTATAAACCCTATAACCCTATAAACCCTATAAACCCTATAAACCCTATAAACCCTATAAACCCTATAAACCCTATAAACCCTATAAACCCTATAAACCCTATAAACCCTATAAACCCTATAAACCCCAAACCTCAAAGCCTTCCTGTCGAGCTTCTATTCCGATGCCTGCTCCTCTCAAAGCTTCTCAGGATCGGCGCGCTGAGCTCCAAGTCGAAGCCCTGAACCCCTCAACCCCATACAAACCCTAAATAAACCCTAAACCCTATATAAACCCTGTATAAACCCTATATAAACCCGAAACCCTGAACCCTGAACCCTAAGGTTTCAACCCTAAACCCTATCCCGTCTTGGGGTAGTTCTAAACGTGAGGTCCCCCCATGTGGTTCCCGTTGAGGTTCCGCTGAGAATATGGGGCCTGTATGATTACCCTGTGCTTCCGGGGGCCTAACTATTGCCTCCTCAAAAGCCTCTAGCAACCCTCTTAATTACTGTAGGTCCCCGGAAGTAATTCCAGGTTAGTTTGGGTGCGTAAACCCTAAACCCTAAAGCCTAAACCCCCCCAAGAGCAAAGGGGGTCTTAATTTACACATATAGTTATACAAGGAGGGGCCCCCTTACTACACTAACTATAGTTAGGGGACTTATAACCTAAGTTAGGATCCTTATAACCCAATGTAGGGCCCCTCTAACTCTGCTTAACTAGGAGGCCCCTCCTTGTACAGAGCTTTCCATGTGCATCTGCGCTCTGCTGCTCGATGGGCACCCCGACTTCCCCTTCGTGCTGATCCACAATCGCGCACCCGGGACTCCAATCGCTGTTGCTCGGGTCTTCTATATCCCCCCTTTTTTTAAGTTTTTGTTAATATACACCCCAAGAGGATATATTAAAAACAATATTCTTTATTCAGGTTCTAAGGGGAGTATAGTCTTGCGTTTGCGGTTTAGGGTTTTGGGTTGGGGCCGGGTTCGTGTTTGGGATTTTTAGGGTTTTGGTTTTGGGCTTTTAGGGTTTCGGGTTTAGGCAGGGTAAGCCCGCAAATTACCTTGGTATGGGGTTAAGGGTGTTGGGGTGTCAAGGGTTTTAGGCCATTTTAGGCGTCTTACTTGGTTGCCGAGCAGGCACCGTTGGGCGCATGATATAAAAGCTCTTAGTAGCCCAAAGGCACAACATTTGCTCACCCCTAAGGGTTAGAGTTTAGGGTTTGGGGTTTCGCTTTTGGGTTTAGGGTTTCGGGTCTAGGGTGTCAGGGTGGCGCTCTCACACGTGCAGCCATGACGTGCCTTCGGGGATAATGTTGAAGAATGTCTGCTTGACGCTGCTTCTCTTGCTCTAGGCTCTAGAGTCTTAGGAGTATGCTAGAGTGTGTTTATATAGCCCGGCAGGATTTTTCGCTCCAAGGAGGAATACAGGACCGTTCAGAAGCATTAGTTTGTTCTAAACCTACCCCAAGTATCCTAAGTGCCCGAGATTCCCTTCATGCCCCAAACTAGCCTAAACTCCCTAAATGCCCTGAGCACCCTAAACCCTAAACCCTAAACCCAACTCTTGAAGCGGTTCTGTCAAGGACGAGCGCTGGGATCGCGAGACTGAGGAGATACGCGAGCACGATGGAGGCTGCAAGCGCCTGAAGCTTTGAATCCCGTAAGGGTTGAGGGTTTGCTTAGGGTTCAGGGTTTTGGGGTTTAGGGTTTAGGGTTTGGGGTTTAGGGTTTAGGGTTCAAGGTTTCAAGGTTTGGGGTTTAGGGTCGGGGGTTTAGGGTTTGGGAGTTTGGCGTTTAACCTTAGAGCAACCAGCTGCACTCACTTCCAGCAAGTTCAGATGTCTCTGTCGGCCATCAAAGGCCCTGAAAGTTGCATCTGCGCCCTAAACCAAACGTTGCAACCCCCTAAACCCTAAACCCTAAACCCTAAACCCTAAACCCTACTGCAATACCAATATTCACCAAGCCCACAAACGCTGTATCGAACAAAACATTCAGGTGACTATAAACACCAAAACGCAAAGACCTATCAGCCCCAGAACGATCTAAAGTCCAACCCTTAGCCCCAAGCCCGAAATCCTATCAACCCTAGTTTGAGTTGACTTCCCACATCGTTCGAAGCCCTAAACCCCTAAACCCTACAAAGCCCCACCAGACACCGCAACCTTAATCTCCAGGCCTCAAGCCTAAAACGCCAAGAAAAGACCCAACCCGCAAAACTCGAAACACCTACTGTTTAGGGTTTAGGGGTTAGGGTGTAGACCCCGTCATAGCAGCCCCGAGCCGTTCAAAAATCGTACAAACCCCTACTGGTGGCAGCCAAGCCGTAAACCCCTAAACCCCCAAGACCCCAAACCCCCGAAGACCCCTAATCTCCCAAACTCAAAGTCCAAGAACAGGATTGGTCTTCGCGCGCGATGGCGAAGCCGGAGGGGCCTGCCTGGGCATGAATGCTCCTCGGTCTCTGGGGGGTTTTGGGGTTTTGGGCTTAGGGTTTTGGGTTTTGGGCTAGGTTTTGTTTACTTTTAATTGTTTCATGCTCACGGGCCCAGGAAACGAAGTTCCATTTTTCAATCCCTCCCCCCATCCCCACCCCACACCCTACACCCCTCCCCCACCCACCGCCCCCACCAATTGGGGCCGCAGAAACCGGTGCTGCCTTGTTACATCTAGAGCTGACCCTCAGTGCTAAGCCCTAGCAGAGCTAGAAGCCCTAACTCCGAATATTTCCGCACCTCCAACCCTAAACCCTCAAACCCTAAACCCTGGAACCCTAAACCCTAAAACCCTAAACCCTAACACCCCAAGCCCTAAGTATGTCCCAAAGCACTCCCTGACAGGTGGCTTCCGGAGCGTTTGCCGCGCTGACGAACACAAGGCCGAGTGTGCGGGATTGCGGCCCTAAACCCTATAAACCCTGAACCCTAAACCCCATACCCTAAACCCTAAACCCTAAACCCCGTGGTTTAGGGCTTCGGGTTGAGGGTTTGTGTCCAGTTCGCTTTGTGGGATGACTTGGGTCCTCGAGAACCTGCAGCCTTATTGGGGAGGGCTTCATCCCCACATGTATCATGGCACTCTACCTTGGACCCCTTAGGCTACAGTAGGTAATATGGCCCCTAACCTCCTTTAAAGGGTTCTGATGTGTGGGCCCTTAGTATGTGTAGGGAATGTAAGGGTTATATAAGGGGTACCCTTTTAAGGGCCAATACTAAGGGACCATGAAGCTACCCTTGTTTCGGGATGGACCCTTTCTCAAGATCCTCTAAGTGAGTATTTGGGCCGTATTAGGAGCATATTCAGGGAAGCTCTTAGGGTTATTCGGGGTCCGAGCATGACTCCCTTGAATGTAGGGTTTAGGCTCAGCCTTTCGTCAGGGTGGACGTTCAGGGTGTCATGGCCGGGTTTAAGGGTGGGAGTTCCGCATCTCGACACCGTTCTAAGGCTTACCAAATTTTGGTGAATTCCAAGGGTTGCGAAATATAGCCCTCTAAGTTGCAGGGCAATCCCAAAACCCTGAAAGGTTGTACGAAAGAAGAGCTCCGCAACCATCCTGTATCATGCCCGGATATGCGCACCTACAAGTACGGGCTCTGGAACGCTTGTTCACCCCCCACACCCCAAACGCTGAGCTCTCAACTCCCCCTCTCCCTGCCCCCTCCCCCGGACAAAATCGGGGCCCATACCGAAGCCCTAAACCCTAAACCCTAAACCCTAAACCCTAAACCCTAAACCCTAAACCCTAAACCCTAAACCCCCGTGAGGTCGAAGGTGGCGAGGCCTCGAGGTAAGGCCGAGCCTTCGCGGGGCCAACTCGTGCTGCAACTCGGTGCTTGGTTTCTTGAGTTGGGGTGTGGGGTTCAGGGTTTAGGGTTTAGGGTTTAGGGTTGAGTGTTTAGGGTTTAGGGTTTAGGGTTTAGGGTTCAGGGTTTAGGGTTTGGGGTTTAGGGTTTAGGGTTTAGGGTTTAGGGTTTAGGGCTCAGGGCTCAGGGCTCAGGGTTTTGGGTTTTGGGTTTTGGCCCACAGGAGCTGCTCCCGCAAACCCAGGACCCCGAGTAGGCCCTGTATTCCCTTTTCTTGGGGGGGGGTTTAGGGTTTAGGGCTTAGGGCTTAGGGCATAGGGCTTAGGGCTTAGGGCTTAGGGCCCTTATTCCATTTTTTGGTTGGTTCTGTTCCCTTACAAGCCCCTTTAAACCAAAAAGGGTACCCTTTCTTGTTCCTAGGTTACTCTTGGGTCCGTTTTCGTTGTCGTCCACGTTACTTACCCCTGGCCTCTGGCAAGCCTTACAATCTAAACTGCTTGCTGTAGTGTTTACAATTCAACGGTCCGATTCGCTCATATGGTTCGATTCGTTTGCTGGCCATGCGTTTCGACTCGGCCCGTTTGCTTCTTGTGGTTCGTTGCGGTTCGTTTCCATA